GCCATGTGGAACCTGGTTGCAACGGTGAGATGCATCATGTGGACTGAGCTTCAACGCAGCGGGATCTTCGATGACGTTGCACAATGGCACACCCTGATTACTTTTCTGGAAACTTTGACGTTTTTCTCAGCATGGATATTGAGACCCAAACGCGGGCCCGGGCTGACGTCCAGCAGCCGTGGCTGGAGTATTCAGTCTGGCAGGAACGAGAGTGGGTGCGGATCTACATTCCTGGACAAGCTCAACTATGGCGCCAGGATGATGACGTACCTGACCTGCCAGAGAACACTTATCGAGTGTGGAAACGGGTGACCGTGCCAGGTGATGAGACTCAAGACAACGACGAGCAAGGTCACCATGCGCCTGAAAACCGCCAAACCTGGACCATTCAAGATTGGCAGCATCAAGGATACCAACGGTATTGACCCGCCATGAGTCCTTCTCCACCCACAATGCCCCGGATCAACAACGTGAGGGCGTGCGCAACCCGGACTTTTCCATCCAGGTGGAAGAACTGGGCTCTCAACATGGTCTTCGTCAACAAGATCGCGATGTGATGGATATGTTCACCTACGCCCCGCCCATGACGGACGCTGCACATCCATCCTCCCTGCACCTTCCGCCGGTCTTCTATGGCGGCACACTTCCTTCTCAACTTGGAGACCCTTCGTCCCCGTCTTCTGTGGTCTTCCGAATGCAAAAGGTAATGTACGCCCCTCGTGGAGGGGCGTGTGTGTGCGGAGTGGCAGAATACCCTGTCACCACATCAGAATGCAGGGGGGCACGGCGCCGGATTGCAGACCGTGCCTAACAAAGCTATGCAATCTGGCGGGACACGGAGTCTGATCAACTCCGCGTACCTGCAACATTTGAGTGATTCTGAATGTCTTTTTGGCCCTCTTCTTTTGCCGCTGTAAGTGCTTCTTGTTGATTCTGTAGCGGTTTCGATTCTACCGGAAAGCCAAGCGTCTTGCAAGCCGAAACTTATCCCACTCGAGACTCATCAGTTGTACTCGAGACTCATACTCGAGACTCATCAGTTGTACTCGAACGATTAGCATCCTCCCTTGGGAGTTGAAGTGTGTGTGTTGTGCGCCCGTGGTTGACGCAAGTCAGAGGGAAGCTGCTGCAGGGAGGGGAATACTCTATGGACCGAAAATCCAGCTCCATTGGCTTCTTTGGAGGGAAGCCGCAGGCGTGTTACGTTTGGGCGTGGCTCCTTTTTTTGAGCGCGCCCCTTCTTGGTTTGTTTTAAAGGGAACCCAGAATGAAAGACACAATTTTTGAGAGGTCCCTTAAAACAAGACATACCCATTTGTGTAATGGCTCCAAGTAAGGTGAATACTCGGACCTACGTTGTGTCACGCAGCTCTCTGTACTGCCACTCGTCTGGCGCCCCTCTCTGTCCCCCACAAGCCGACCCTGTTCTCACTTGACTCATAGTTTTTTGGTGAATCTGGCAGGGGCAATTATTTTCATGGTTGTTTCCCCTTTCCCTACCATTTGGGGGTGACTTTGATCGTGGTAAAACAATGGGGCCAGTCTGGCGATCGGCGCGGATGCGGCTTGGTGCAGCCACCTCCGGGTATTGAGAGTGTAGTACAGCGCGAACAAGGGACCAACAGGGGAAGACCAGGCTCCACAGCCAAGCGCATCCAAACCCATTCGCTTGACATGTCGCTAGATCTGCGGCCAAAGCAGCCCCAACCTCAAGGGTTGCGTTTCTCCATGACAAACACTTTGGAGGTCCCAACTGGGGTTATAGTCCACTGCCACTTTTGACTTGAGGTCCCACGTATCGCAGCTAGCAGAACCAAAATGACTCCCTTCGGCGGGTTCCGAAGGGAACCCGCCAAGTCCGAAGCAAGAACGAGTCTTGGAGGACGGGCACCTCGTGGGTTCTCTCCAGAAAAAATGCTTTCGGAACCTTTGGGCCAAGGCGGGGCCAAGGGGGCCGTGGCGCCGAGCCTTAGTGAGCGCGCAGTCCGCCTCGCTGCTCGTCAGGACTCTTTGCAGGTCTCCGAGGCGCTGCTGGGGCTTCCGAGAGGTCAAGATGGCGGGTCAAAATAGGTTTCGTCCCTCCTCAAACAGGGGATTTCGGGATTTCTCTTTCGGCTTCGTGCTTTTAACCCGAACCCCAAGAAGGGTACCGGGCCAAAAGCCTCTGGACCCAGTTGGACCGGTTGCCACGATCCGAGTCCTTTGCGGGTCCTTTGTCTTGTTGATTGGGGAAGACGAACAGAATTGCTGTCTGACCAACCCCGATGCCTCAGGCTTATGCAACAATCCATATGGCCATAGGTCACAACCTATGGCTCCATTTTGGGGCGGATGAACACCCATGTACCACCCATTTTGATGTTCACCAGGGGTTTCCTGGGTTTTGACCCACAGCCATATCACACCACAGGATCATCCTTCTTTCATTCTTCGATGGCATCACACCACGTGCTCACCCCTCAAAATGCGGTTCGGGCGGTTCGGGCGTTCGTTTCGGCTGGGAGTGAAAGTTCACATATGGCCATCAAGCCAGTGAATTCCCAACCTTTGACAGCCCTTGGCTTAGAATGAAGCTAACATTTGGGACGTTGAGACCGCATCTTGGTGGCCCCCTGTTTGGTTTGGTTTGGTGGTTGACTGAGACCGTCAACCCGACTTTGCCCCCAAAGGCCCTCACCGTAGAAGTGGAAACCGGGTGCTGATGGACTGAGTTTGATCCCAGGAACCGCAAGTGGATGGCAAACTCGGCAGATTGGCTCTCGTTTTCGATTTTTTTAACCTTGAGGTTGGGAAGCGAGGGGCATGTGATGTGACTCCTGACAGCTCACCAATGCGGATCGTTCGGTTTTCCAGGAGCGATCTCACCCATGAAGAGAGAGGGAGAGAGGAAACGCTCACTTGGCTTTTAGGGTTTTGTCCCAAACACTTTTGGAGGACCCACATCAGAATATCTTGAACAAGTCAGGATAACTTAACTTCTTCAACGCAACTTGAACAAATTGAGGGAGGCGCTTTTCCCGAACACAGGCAGAGATCGCCGGCCATGCCGTGGAACTCCTGTCAGCGAGAGGCCAGCTAAGTCGATCTAGCCCCCCAGTCGGGTCAATCTTGGGAGTTTCGGACCCTTTTGCCTGGGATTTGAAGGGAAACCACAGGGAACCGCAACCATTTTCTACATTTTAGAGGGGGGCCCCTATTTGGAGAGAATGGGGTGCCATTCCGTTATTCCTGTCTGATATTTTTGGACTACGTCGGGGCCTGGTGGGATGATTCTGCCTCTTCTTGGCGCCGCAACAAAGATTTCTGGCAGACTGAGTAAAAATACCAAGTTGGACATTGGTTTGGAATTTGAGGGTACTCTTCCAAAGCGAGCCAAAAAAAACGAAAACGGACAGGGATCCGATTCCTCTCAGCTCGAGGATGTGGATATCCCTCTCAGATCAGAAAAATATCAAAGTACCCGATGGTTTCGAACGTGGATTCTCCTTTCAAGGGGATTTGTTTGTTTGAAACATACATGTTGGCCACCTTGCAGGTGTAGGATTTATCTAAGTGAACATCAGTTTCATGGTGCCCCATCCACTCAAAGTGGTAGTTTATTTTTTCTTGAGGATATGCCAATCGATCTCAAAAAGAGATTGAGATCGGGCCCCAACGCCCTGATCCAGTCTGGGTCTTGATTTCAGTCAGCTTGTTTGGGTGAGGGGAACGGACTTTCAGGAGCCCAGACCCAGACTTGCACACGATTCCGAAGCCAATTCCACTGGTCACCCAGTTGAAGCACTGAGTGAAGCGGGATGGCTCGATGGCGTGTTTTGGGGTGACCCAATTTCAGGAAAATGGACATGGGGTAGGAGAGTATGGAGGGGCCCCTCCACCCTATACTCCCCATTTCAAAGAAGAACCAACCAAGCCCAGCCATATGCTACCCATTTCTGTTTTTTGAGGGCGGTTTTTGGTTGGGGCTGGTTCAAAGGCTGGCGGGTCTGAATCACTTTTCGCCCATGAATACCTGACAAGCTAAGAAACCGACATCGTACACTCCGACCCATCTGAGTGTTTCTCAAAAGTGGATTGCTCAAAATGGGGATTTGGCGTGCATTATCCTTTTGGTTTTCGTTGAACCCAACCAAAAGTGGGTACCCTCAAAATGGGTTTGTCGGGCCCCCTTTCGGTGCTGGCGGACAAACATCCTGCATTCAGGGCGGGGGGGGTGTCTTTTTTTTGAGGGTGCCCCCGCTCCTCCCGCCCCCACGAGACTTAGGCGTCCGGCGCTGGCACTTCTTCGCGCTGCCGGTGGCTTCCGAAGCCGCCGGCCCAGTGGGCGGGGGGGTTGGTGGGTGGATGTTGATGGCGGGTGTTGCTGCTTTCCGCAGTCCGGTTTTGGTGTTGGTTGGATTTGTCAATATATGTATATATGTACATATATACATATATATGTGTTTTGTCATGTTATTACGTTTTCTGCTTATTTTTGTTTTTTCCCCGTTTGTTGGTTGTCGGGCTTGTTGTTGGTGTTGCTTGTGCGTGTTTTAGTTGTCTTTTGCTTTGGTTTGCTTTGTGTGCGTTATTTATAGTTTGGTTCGGTGGGGTTTTGTGGGGTTCTAAGGCGGTGGGGTTTATGTTGTTGTTTTGGTTTGTATTGGTTGGGTTTGCTGAATTTTTCTGTTTTGTATTCTTCTAGTTGATGATTTTTGTGTCTGTGTTGCTTTGCTCGTTGTTCTTTTGGGGTCCTTTGGTTGACCAGGACCAGAGTGCTTCTGAGACAGGTCGAGTGCGCTGGGCTCAAGTTGCAATGAACGCCATCATGTTGCCTAACAACTGCGCTTTTTACAGGGCTACCAAAGTCAGACTAACGAACAACATCAACTGTTCAGCTTGGAATTCATGTCCTGATGTGACCTTTATTCACCTTATGTGACCTTCAACTGTTCACCCGTTCCTTTTGCGACCTTTGACAAAGGCGCACCGTTTTCGAGGCGCTGCGTTTGAACTCGGCCATGGCGCCGAGCAAGCGCCTCCAGCACCTGTCGCGGCACTTGCAGCCTGCGCCTGTCTCCGGTTCGCCAGAGGCGCCCTGGTGAGGAATTCGACGCGTGGGCGCACCCGGCCATCAAGCGGATTCCACCGAAATCTCTGTTTCTTTGCCTCTCTGTGTGTCTGTTCTGTCTGTTCTGTCTGTTCTGTCTGTCTGTCTGTCTGTCTGTCTGTCTGTCTGTCTGTCTGTCTGTCTGTCTGTTTGTTTGTTTGTTTGTTTGTTTGTTTGTTTGTTTGTTTGTTTGTTTGTTTGTTTGTTTGTTTGTTTGTGTGTTTGTTTGATTTGATTTGATTTGATTTGATTTGATTGATTGATTGATTGAATTGATTTGATTTGATTTGATTTGAATTGATTTGATTGATTTGATTGATGTGATTGATTTGATTGATTTGATTGATTTGATTTGATTGATTTGATTGATTTGATTGATTTGATTGATTTGATTGATTTGATTGATTTGATTGATTTGATTGATTTGATTTGATTGATTTGATTGATTTGATTGATTTGATTGATTTGATTGATTTGATTGATTTGATTGATTTGATTGATTTGATTGATTTGATTGATTTGATTGATTTGATTGATTTGATTGATTTGATTGATTTGATTTGATTTGATTTGATTGATTTGATTTTTGATTTGATTTTTGATTTGATTTGATTGATTTGATTGATTTGATTGATTAATTTAATTTAATTTGATTGATTTGATTGATTTGATTGATTTGATTGATTTGATTGATTTGATTGATTTGATTGATTTGATTGATTTGATTGATTTGATTGATTTTTGATTGATTTTTGATTGATTTGATTGATTTGATTTTTGGTTGATTGATTGATTGATTGATTTTTGATTTTTGATTGATTTAATTAATTGATTGATCAAATTATTCATTAATTTAATTAATTTAATTAATTTAATTAATTTAATTAATTTAATTAATTTAATTAATTTAATTAATTTAATTAATTTAATTAATTTAATTAATTTAATTAATTTAATTAATTTAATTAATTTAATTAATTTAATTACTTTAATTCCATTTAATTAATTTTGCAGCCTATTAATATTAATTAATTTAATTAATTAATTAATTAATTAATTAATTAATTAATTAATTAATTAATTAATTAATTAATTAATTAATTAATTAATTAATTAATTAATTAATTAATTAATTAATTAATTAATTAATTAATGAATTCAATTCGTGAATTCATTAATTCATTAAATTCAATAATTCAGTAATTAATTAATTAATTAATTAATTAATTAATTAATTAATTAATTAATTAATTAATTAATTAATGGAATTTAATTAATTAATTATTAATTAATTAATTAATTAATTAATTAATTAATTAATTAATTAATTAATTAATTAATTAATTAATTCATTAATTACAATTAATTAATAATTATTAATTAATTAATTAATTAATTAATTAATTAATTAATTAATTAATTAATTAATTAATTAATTAATTAATTAATTAATTCAGCCAATTCATTAATTCATTAATTCATTAATTCAATTAATTAATTAATTAATTAATTAATTAATTAATTAATTAATTAATTAATTAATTAATTAATTAATTAATTTAATTAATTTAATTAATTTAATTAATTTAATTAATTTAATTAATTTAATTAATTTAATTAATTTAATTAATTTAATTAATTTAATTAATTTAATTAATTTAATTAATTTAATTAATTTAATTAATTTAATTAATTTAATTAATTAATTAATTTAATTAATTTAATTAATTTAATTAATTTAAATTAATTTAATTAATTTAATTAATTTAATTAATTTAATTAATTAATTAATTCATTAATTCATTAATTCATTAATTAATTAATTAATTAATTAATTAATTAATTAATTAATTAATTAATTAATTAATTAATTCAATGAATCATTCCATTAATTAATTAATTAATTAATTAATTAATTAATTAATTAATTAATTAATTAATTCATTAATTAATTAATTAATTAATTAATTAATTAATTAATTAACTAATTAATTAATTAATTAATTAATTAATTAATTAAATTAATTTAATTAATTTAATTAATTTAATTAATTTAATTAATTTAATTAATTTAATTAATTTAATTAATTTAATTAATTTAATTAATTTAATTAATTTAATTAATTTAATTAATTTAATTAATTTAATTAATTTAATTAATTAATTAATTCATTAATTCATTAATTCATTCTTATTAATTAATTAATTAATTAATTAATTAATTAATTAATTAATTAATTAATTAATTAATTAATTAATTAATTAATTAATTAATTAATTAATTAATTAATTAATTAATTAATTAATTAATTAATTAATTAATTAATTAATTAATTAATTAATTAATTAATTAATTAATTAATTAATTAATTAATAATTAATTAATTAATTAATTAATTAATTAATTAATTTAATTAATTTAATTAATTTAATTAATTTAATTAATTTAATTAATTTAATTAATTTAATTAATTTAATTAATTTAATTAATTCCAATTAATTAATTAATTTAATTAATTTAATTAATTTAATTAATTCATTAATTAATTTAATTAATTTAATTAATTTAATTAATTTAATTAATTTAATTAATTAATTAATTTAATTGGCTGAATTAATTAATTTAATTAATTAATTAATTAATTAATTAATTAATTCAATTAATTAATTAATTAATTAATTAATTAATTAATTAATTCTATTAATTAATTAATTAATTAATTAATTAATTAATTAATTAATTAATTAATTATTAATTAATTAATTAATTAATTAATTAATTAATTAATTAATTCATTAATTAATTAATTAATTAATTAATTAATTAATTAATTAATTAATTAATTAATTATTAATTAATTAATTAATTAATTAATTAATTAATTAATTAATTAATTAATTAATTAATTAATTCATTAATTAATTAATTAATTAATTAATTAATTAATTAATTCATTAATTAATTAATTAATTAATTAATTCAATGAATTCATTAATTAATTCAGCTTAATTAATTAATTAATTAATTAATTAATTAATTAATTAATTAATTAATTAGACAATTGAAAATTCACATTCATTGATTGATTGTTTTTGATTTGTTTGGGGCTCCTTGGAATCAACCCCCAGAAGAGCTCCCGTTTGTACCTGGGCGAGGGACCCGCAGAGTCAGTGGGCACAATGCTCTTTGGGACCCGTTTTGATGCGGCAGTTTGGTGCCTCTGTAGAGCCCAAAAGGCAAGCCCCTCATTCTTTTTCAAGCCCCCACAAATTGGGGTCATAGACAATCAGATAATTTGCGTGACACTTGTTATGTGGGCGGAAGTATGCTTGCGACATCCCACGGCACCCGTAAGGGAGACCCTGAAACATGCCCAAATAGTCCCGACTTGGCCCGATGTGGCTGTTGAGGGCAGTTGAGACTCGCCTTTGAGCTCTCGAACAAATAGAATACAATTTGACTACCTCCCTAAGGGTAGCAATCCTCTGAGACTTGCAGTAGCGGTAACCTCACCAGGCCCCTCACATTTGATCAGATGTGAGAACAACACAGAGTGGATGTTTTGATCGGGGCGGTTTTGTGGCTCTGAGTATGCTCAACGACTCGCAGCCGCCCTCCTGATCTCTTTGGTGCGCATGCTTTCGTGTTTGTGTTCCAAACCATCTTGCACCCGGAGCTGATGGGTACTGTTACGGCGGGTGGTTATTTTGATGATCATCAATCTTTTTGCATGATAATCACACAATCGGAACAAGCTTTCCAACTCTGCAGAACCATGTTCATGCACGCAAAAGCACCTTGTTGGCACGTGCGGCGAACTTAGGTGCTGCAGAATTTCATTGGCCCGGACCTTGGCCTTTCATCCGGGTTCCGCTCGGAAACAGGTTAGATTTTGCGGAGTTTGGCCTTCGGCCAAGGAGCAGGTGGGTGGCTGGAAAATAAGGTCGTGCCCGCGCCGACTTAGGCGGGAAGTTTGTTCCTTCCACTGCAACTGCGAGCATCGTCGTCACCAACCCCGCCACTGGCGAAGAGATCGCGCGGGTGCCAGATGGCAATGAAGCCGATGTCGAGCCTTGGCCGCCAGCTATTGTGGACTCAGGATTCATAAACCCGTCCCAGGCGGGTGTTCCCTCCAAAAGTGGTCTGAATCCAACCACCAAAAGGAATTGGACACCAAATCAACCGATCGGGGTTTCTTAGTTAACATTACAGGGCTGGCAGAAACAAAGCCAAGGGGCGAGGAAGGGCGGAAGGCGTCGATTCGAGAAGGCCATGGGTCATACCTATGCCTCCATTTTGGGGCGGATGAACACCCATGTACCACCTATTTTGATGTTCACCAGCGGTACAGCTTTGGCTTTGACCCACAGCCACATGGAGCTTCATGGAGGTCCCTTGTGAAGCTTCTAGGGGACACTTCCATTTCCATTCCTTCCAGGGATCCTTCTTTCTAGAAAACCATCAGAACCGCAGGGGAAACGGATCCGGTGATTGAAAAGAACGATTGAAAAGAATGGTTGGAATGAGCCAGTAGAAAGCTGGTTTTCCAGCCTGTCGGGCTTCGTGGGAGGATAGACTAGAAGGGTTTGCCAGCGACCCACAGCTGCGCTATTTGGCCGGAGGTGTCAGGTATGAGCCCGAGTCGACCAATTTGTTCGGATCCCAATCTCACGGATCATCCCGGTTCTTCCTGAGCCTGACACCCAGATAGTGCCACCACTTTTGGCACCACTTTGAAACCAATTTGCAAACCATTCTGTTGGAAAATAACCGGGGAAGCGACTCACCCCAAAAGTTTTCAAGTGGTGCCAAAGTGGTGGCACTACCTGGGTGTCAGGCTCAGGAAGAACCGGGATGATCCGGCCTTGCGATTGAGGGGCTACTTACCTGTCAGTCGGTGGTAGGTTTCCATCCCCAAATTTTCCGGGACTGGGGTCAAGGGCAACCTCTGACCACAGACCCGGATTCCCACTAAAGAAACCAAGAGGTTAGTTAAGCAGAGGTTGGAGCACCCAACCCTGACAGAGACCACTAAACATCGGGTGCTTCAACATCGGACAGTGGGTGCCGACTTGTCAGCAAACATGTGAGGCTTGTGAATTCTTGCTTTATCGAGCGGTGAAAATTCCCACCTGAGCCACAATCAAAACCCGGGTAGACGAAGGTTAGTAAGGGACAATCCCAACCATGAATAGCTGCGTCCGCCTTCTTGATTCTTTACATGGTTTTGGGTCGACCGTTTTAATACCGTATCCTATCCTATCCTATCCTGTACTACCCTATCCTTTCCTATCCTGTCCCATCCTATCCTTCTATCCTATCCTTCTATCCTATACTTCTATCGTATCCTAATCTGTATATCCTATCTTTCTATCCAATCCTAATCTATCTATCTATCCATCCATCCATCTATCTGTTTGTCTGTCTGTCTATCTATCTATCTATCTATCCATATATATATATATATACACATGTCTCTCTAGGTAATTTTTATCTATCTGTATCGATCTAGCTAGCTAGCCAGCTAGCCATCTATTTATGTATTTGTCTATCTATCTCTATCCATCTCTATCTATCTCTTGATATATGTTCATCTATGTCCATCTATGTACATCTATCCATCTTTCCAGCTATCTATGTATCTATCTTTCTATCGATCTATCCATCCATCCATCTATCTATCATATTTTGTGTTCTCTTATCTTATCTTATCTCAATCTAATCTAATCTAGTCTTATCTATTTGTCTACCTATCTACCTATCTACCTATCTACCTACCTACTTACCTATCTACCTATCTACCGATCTACCTACCTATCTATCTATCTACCTACCTATCCTATCTATCTATCTACCAATCTATCTATCTATCTGTCTATCTGTCTATCTATCTATCTAATCTATCTATCTATCTATCTATCTATCTAATCTAATCTAATCTAATCTAATCTAATCTAATCTAGTCTAGTCTAATCTAATCTATCTATCTATCTATCTATCTATCTATCTAATCTATCTATCTATCTATCTATCTATCCATCCATTTATCTATCTATCTATCTATCTATCTATCTATCTATCTATCTATCTATCTATCTATCTATCTATCTATCTAATTTATCTATCTATTTATCTATCCTATCTATCTATCTTATCTAATCTAATCTAGTCTAATCTAATCTAATCTAATCTAATCTAATCTAATCTAATCTATCTATCTATCTATCTATCTGTCTACTCAATCCATCCGTCCAACCAACCAACCAACCAACCAACCAACCAGCCAGCCAGCCAGCCAGCCAGCCAACCAACCAACCAACCAACCAACCAACCAACCAACCACTCCATGTACCGATGAAGACAACCCCCCCGCACCCCATGAAGATTGAGCCAATCGGAGGGTCGACTCGAGGACCAGGCCGTGAAAGCGGCGGCCGCCGCCTACCCTGCCTGGCGGGACACGCCGGCGCCGCGGCGTTGTTAAGATGGGCAAGGGCTAATTGGGGGGGGGTTGGTTGTTTGGGGAGGGGGGTTTGTTTTTGGAGGCCTCCTTGCATCCTAACAATGATTTTTGGGTAAAAGGGAAACCATCATTTTCGGGGTCCGAGACTCTTGTTTGACTCATACTCATGTATGAACAGCCGATATCATCAAGAGAAGCCGTGTTTTCTTGGGCCCACCCCGAACCGAAACCCACCAAGCAGCAGACTCATAGGGACCCACCGAAAACTGAGACCCTGGTAATAGCGTCCGTTCATGGTCCATCTGCGGCCCAATCCATGGCAACTCTCACAATGGTTTGCCCCGTTGCAATTTTCGGGAGACCAAGAGGAAACCTCTCATTGGGCCAGGAATTTCTTGAGGAGCGTCTGCTCCTCTCATCTTCGTGGAACTCACCCACCGAGTTCCACCGAGTTCCACCCAACCAGCCCAAGGGAGAGGAAGTGTGAGTCCTGGCGTCCATGGAAAAGCCCCGATGAGTGGTTTTCCAAAAAGCTTCTCTTGAAAGCAGCCCCACAAAGGCAAAGGGGATGCTCTTCTTTCTCCCTTCTCTCTGTCTTGTCTTTTCTTTTCTTTTCTTTTCTTGTCCTGTCCTGTCCTGTCCTGTCCTGTCCTGTCTGTCTGTCTGTCTGTCTGTCTGTCCGTCTCTTTTCCTCTCTCTCTCTCTCTTGCTCTCTGTCCGCTTCTCACCAGGAAACCTAGTCCTGACCGACGTTCCCGAGCGAGCGAGCGGCAAAAGCGGCAAGAGCCATCAGGTGCTGGCAAATGGAAACATGGACTAAAACCTGCGGTCCCTGTGGGTTCCAACTACCCCCCCCCCCCCCAAAACAATCAATCCCCCCTCCCCCAAACAATCCACCTCCCCCACCCCAGCCCCCCCCGAACCATCCCCTCTCCCCCTTCCCTTCCCTTCCCTTCGCGTTTCTCCTGCGCCTTTGCGAAAAAGCGGCGAGAAAGCGGCCGCTAAGAGCGCCATGAGGTGAAGGCGCGGGTGGAGGTGCTCTTCCGCTTTAAGAACCTTTGCGAGCTGCACCTCGCGGAGCTCACGGCGCTGGTGGTCCAGGATCGACGCGAAACCGGCGGCGGCGGTGGCGGTGGGGGGTGGGGGACTTCTCGTTTTGGTTTCGTTTCAACCAACAAGAAACGGGGAAAATCCAAAACTTCGGTCAAACACGGGGTGTTTTAAAAATTGGGGGGGGGGGTTGTCTGCTGTGGCTTTGGGGCAGCAGATGATGGGATTTGGGGAAAAGGGGCGGTTCAGCTCTACTTCATGTGGTGATGGTTTCAAGCACCTTTTCGGCCGGGAGAGTTTCTCTTGGGGTAACCCCCCAAAAAATCGGCCGCAGGGTCCGATTTTGTTGTTTTGGTTTCCTCAAGATGGGAGGTGTATACAACCCAGCTTCAACGGCCACAAGTTCCTTTCAGGCATAGGCATCCCATTTGACTTGGGTGACTCTAACACATCTCCCTTCGGTTGCTAGGAAAAGTGAACTTCCCTTGGGGTGATGTTTCTAGGGACATACAGAAGCCTCCAACCGGGTCTTAGAAAATCGGAACCCTCAAATAGGGGTGCCCTCGAAAACAGAACCTGCGCAAATGGCAAACTAAAAGGGGGTCCACATTTTTTTATGAGAAGCTCCCATCTCCGCTATTGGCGAGCTGGTATTGCGACCTTTACCTCCGAGTCGTCTTTTTCAGGTTTTGGAATTGTAGAGTTTGCAGACCCAAGTCTCATGGACAGGGTCCGATAATCAAACAGCACGGGCACTGGGCAAAACTGGCAAACTCGCATCGCCCTTTGCAGAACTCAGAAAAAAAATAATAATGTGGCTGTGGCTCAAAAATAAGGAGCCAGGGTTACGCAGGTTTTACTCTTTGGTTCCATTTACCAAGGGGCCATTTTGGTACATTTATTTGAGCCACAGCCATGTGGCTAGCGGCCTCGTTTGCTCGCTCGAGATTAAAGTGGGCTGCTTACCCCAAGCAACGAGGCCCAGAGTTCCTTTGACCGAAGGACCCGATCGGGTCGAAGGGGAGCTACAAATCAGATTCCGGTCCATATCTCATGCAACTTGGAGTACACGCATAGCGATGTCGACCCCATATTTTTTAAACCCCAGTTCGTTAATAGGGGGTGTCCCTGGGTCAAATGTGGGGAATCATCACTGTTGGATGGACGCATGCCCCCTATTAATAGAGTGACTAGGTCCCCCAGTAGTGCCCTTTTGCCCTTTTTTGGGGGAGGGTTCCCCTAATAGACTACAGAAAAAAAGTTGGGTACCCTTATTCGAACCTTTCTATGGAGGACCTAGATACCATTGCCCGGCATCAAGACCCTTTTCCCAGTAGTCCGGAGGTGTTCCAAGGTTTTTCGTTTTGGCCGGTTTTGGGTTTGCCTCTGACAGCCCCGAAGTTCAATAGACTGGGGTTGATTCATATGGGTGTGGCTCAAAATTTAACTGGAGGGGTTACGCAGGTTTTGGTCCATGTTTCCACTTACCAGGGTTCCATTTTGGTACGGGATTTTTTGAGCCACAGCCATGTGGGGTCGCCATGCCTTTTTTTTGCCCAGCTCCGGCGTGAGAGAGCTCTGCTCCAGGAGCACGGCAAGAACTCCGGGGAGGCGGAAGCCGAGGTTCTGAAAGGAGAGCCGGCGCCCGGAATTCCCAAGCCCCAGCCCACAGTGCAGCTCTGGGGAAAAGAAGAGCATTTGGATTTGCGTCTTTCGTGTCTTTCGTGTCTTTTGCGTCTTTCGTGTCTTTTGCGTCTTTTGTGTCTTTTGCGTCTTTTTTTTATTATTATTATTATTATTATTATTATTATTATTATTATTATTATTATTATTTGTTCCTTTCGCGAGTGGCCTTTGTATAGTGGTTTTTATGGAGAACCAGAGGGCAAACTTTTTTTTCCTGCGGTCCCCTTTTTGTTCACACACACCCAGGCGACGTATTCAGGTTCTCAACATGTGGACCATATAGTTTCTTTCGTGGGGCGAAAGCTGAGGCAGCCAAGTGCAGTCTAAGCTGACCCTCGCCCCATCTTTGACTCAACCAAAATCCTTTCCAACCCCTCACACACGTCGTAAAATAATTTCGAACTCGGTGCTTGGACTTTTGCTCGCAAGCCACGGACATTGAAATCAAGATCAGAGAGGAGCTGTTGGACGAGAACAGCGGTCACGAGCATCATGGAACTTTTGGAACTCAAGTTCCAAAAACCTGCGTTCTGCACTTTGGTTACTTCGTTGATGCACAGACTTCGCTTAAGCCTTCAGCGCCCCGTCCCCATCCGAGTGCGATTCATCCAAGCCAGTTTGGGTGCCCGCCTGTGGATTCCACCGCTGGAATCCTGCCCCCCCCCCAAACAGAACATGTGCCTTTTGGTTGTCCCGTACACCACCCTCCACAAGGGTACCGGGCCTAGGAAAAGAAAGGCACAACCCCAGCTACTGTGGATGGACGAAATCCATTTCGCACCACTTCGACACCATGGGAAATCATTTGTTCCTGTGTTCAGGGCGGTGGATTTCGTCCATCCACAGTAGCACTCTAGAACCTTCGGGTGGGCCATGTGCTTGGGGGGAATCATCCATGCTGGCGAGCTGAATGCGAGGCGCGAACAAAGATGCATGGTCAATGTTGCTGAGAGGAATTGGCACGCGCGAAAGCAAAACAAGCTGTGTGTGTGTGTGTGGGTGTGTACAAGGGAAACCCAAAGGGAAGCCACCCATTTGGAGCTAGCTGTCTCAAGAGGGAGCCGAAGTTTGCTGGAGCCGGACTCGGAACTGGGAGGTCTGGTTGGGGACTGCGTTGGCCTCCAGACTTTGGGGTAAACCAACAAACGAGCTGACTGATGCGGTTGGTGGCTCAGGCGTTTTTTTTGAGTTGGCATTTTGAGTTAATACTTATAAGACTTATAAGGCGATTTTTTCTCGGTCTCTGAAAGGAAGTCGAGAGCCTAGGGGCCTAGTGCCTGCAACTGCGAACCACCAAGGTGGGTTGATTGAGGTGCCCCCAATATTGGTACAAACGTTTTTTCGTGGGGATCTGGATCGCACCCCTCGAATTGGTGGCTTGGATTTGGATTTGAGCCCCTGGTTCTTGTTGCGAGTAAATGGGAAGCCAGCCCTTTGCCTCCAACCCATCGATTCGGTTCCCAACCACCTTTTTCACAAGCTCAAACTTGGAAGTCCCCCCCAAAAAAACCACCCCACCAGCCCATGTTTTTCACGCATGTTTTGTTGGGGGTTTTCAATAGATCCCAGTCCAAAGCTTGTGGCTCTCGGAGGAGTGGAGACGGTGGCCTTTGCCACCGGCCTGCCGGACTTGCTGGCCGGCCGCATCTTGGAAGTGGCCCGCGGCGTGTGGTGCCATGAGGCGCGAAGCGGCAGAGCCGCAGAGCGGGCGGGAGCCGGGAGGCCGGGAAAAGGAGCGCGGCCGCTTGAAGGGGTGCTGGGCCCACAGCCTGGCTTCAAAAGGGTGAAGCAAAAAGCAAAACAGGTTGGTTTTGGCTCGCCCAATGAGGGTTCTTGGTGCCGTTGTTGTGTACGAAGTTGTTTTTGTTTGTTTCTTTTTGGGACATACGTTTTGCATAGCGGGTTTCTCTTTTTGTTTTTTGAGGGCGCCTTTTTTGGGGCTGGATGTAAAGGAAAGCCAAAGGGACAACCACGATTTGTTGGAAGTCACCTATTTGGGGTTTGGTCAGGGATGCAATGGGGGTGCCCCTCGTTTCTGTTTTTTGCAGTACGCGTTTTTGGATTTGATACAATACAACATGTAGACACACACACACACAGATTGACATGTACACAAAAGGAGCACATAATCAGAAAACTGCTATTTCTTTGATGGAATCATATTTTTGCAGTGCAAGACATGTTTCGAATATCAAGAAGCGCCTTGCTGGCTGGGTTTCCGGCTCTCAGACAACTGTGGCAAGAAGGGTTACTGCTTCATCTTGGGGTGGGTTCCAAGATGGGATGGGTTCCCTTTTGGCTTCCATGCAACCCACTCAAACATGGTGCTACGCCTCACACAAAACAGTCACCACCCAATTTGCAATGCCTCAAAACACACCACCTCATAAATGGGTGATTTTCCCAGTTTCTGCAGACAAAACAACACACACCACTTCGAGCGGCTTGGCCCCCCACCAGCCCCCCCCCCCCCAGCGCCCCCCCGCCCCGACGCCAGGTGCGACGCCCGGTGGGCGTGGTGGCCTCCATTGTGCCTTTCAACTTCCCCGCCATGGTGCCCCTCTGGCAGCTCGGCGCGGTTCTGACAAAAGGGGAACACCACAGGCTTCGTTTTTTTTTTTTTTTTTTTTTTTTTTCTTCTTTGTTTTTTTTCTTCAGCTGTTTTTGTTTGCTCTGAAAAAGAGGAAGCAAAACGGGCTTCGCGTTATTTTTCTTTTCTTTCTTCTTCGGATGTTTGTTCTTGTTCTTCCCTTTGTGGGTTAAAGAGAGGTCCCGGGCTTTTTGTTTCTTGGGTTCCCACCTTGTAGAGGTCCCAGGTTGACCCTGTCACTGGGCAAGTGAGGTAAAGACTGAAGGGTTTTTCCCTTGCCAGAACTTGGGTAGGTCAAACATGAGAGATCCCGCATGGGCAGTTTCCCTCGGTTGCCCGAATAGAACCTCAGATCACCCCTGTTCTGGGCCTGTTGCCTCACACCCCAGCCCTCCCCCCCAGCCCTCCCCCGCAGCCCTCCCCCCCCCCAGCCCTCTTCCCCCCAACCCTCCCCAGCCCTCCCTTAGCCCTACCCCCGCCAGCCCTCCCCCCCAGCCCTCCCCGCCCGCCAGCCCTCCCCCCCAGCCCTCCCCCCCCAGCCCTCCCCCCCCCAGCCCTCCCCGCCACCGAGGACGCTTCCCATTGCCATTGGCTGTGGGAACTGCTTCATCATCAAGCCTAGCGAGAAGGCGCTCTTAAATACGTGGGTATGGGTCAAAATGAAACCACCAGGAACCGGACCGCAGGTTTTAGTCCTTGGCAACCCATTTACCAGGGCAAGCCATTTTGGGGTTTCCATATTGTTGACCCACAGCCGTAAATACCGCGTGACGCCGCAATGGCAACCTGAAAGCAAGCGCAGGTTGTCACTGGCCATTCGAAATGTGGCGGTGGTTGTCAAAACCAATGGTATGATTTTGGTTGGTAGGTGCACCCATTTTAGTCTATTTAGTGGTTGGATTGGTTGATGTTCACTGGGGTGTGATTCGGATTTTGACCCATGGTGTAACTATTGGACCCTGCAATTGATACCTTTGCATTGGGGAAAGGACAAGGAACCGGGCCGTTTGAGCGTCGGGGGCCCAATTCCGGCAGCACCGATTTCTTTGACTCCCGAAGTGCGCCCGCTTCGCCTGACTCCGGCCGGGCTTCGCGGGCATTCTCTGAGTTCTCCAGTGCACAGGAACCATTTTCCCGCAGAGAAGTTTATCTTTTGGGGTTCTTACTTCTAAAGAGGTGGGTGCATATATATATATACATACATATGTATATATATATATATATGTATATATATATATAAATATGTGTATATATATATATATATATGTATGTTTTTTTTTTGTTACTGATTTCTGTAGCTTTTAGCTTTGGAGGGGTCCCCTGAAATAAGACACAGCTATACAGCACACAATGACCCGTATCGGTCAAATCTCTCGTGCTGGGGTCCATGGGCCTCTGCATTGTGACACTGTGAGCTTTGTCCGAAAGTCCCGTACCAAGATGCCAAACTGGGAATGTGTTTGCAAGCTGGCGCTGATCGCATCGGACTTGCGTGAGGCGGTTGGGCTCCTCTTTTATATATATATATATATATATATATTATTTCTTTTTTTTTGAAAAGCAAGTCGAAGCTACTTGGCTTAAACAACATCCGTTTGGCTTTCCTTGTGCGTGTTTGGGTGGGGAGCCAACTCGTCGCCTAAACCTGCTCTTTCTCCGAGAAAGCTTGGTTGGGCTCACTCGCATCAGATTTCCGCGTGTGTTTTTGATGGTAAGGGACACCAAGCGTTCACAGCTCGATTGCAAACAGGGCCACCTGCACAATTCGTGAATGACTTAGGGTGAATCCGAGGGAGCAGGGGTTTGACAATGAGCATGTCCCACATGTCGACTCAGGATTCAAGTTGGTGGGTCTCTAGGGGCGTTTCCCCAGATATTGGGATCCAATTATGGCCTTTGCTCCCGAAGCCTTGCACGCAGCTTATACTTGTTTTTGGACACCCATCCTGGGCCCTGTAGGGTGCATCAAGGACCCCTGGCATTGTCTTGTCGGTGCATCTTGCGCGCCTGTAGGGGCTTGGCAAGTTCAGGAATGCTTGGGGTGGCCATTCGAACTCCAACCGGAGGGTGGCCGCGATGGTGGGAGGGACGGTTTCCATTGACTGCTGAGCCCTACAGGTCGCTGCATCCATCCATCCGTCCGTCCGTCCGTCCGTCCGTCCATCCATCCATGCATGCATGCATCCATCCATCCATCCATCCATCCATCCATCCATCCATCCATCCATCCATCCATCCATCCATCCATCCATCCATCCATCCATCCATCCATCCATCCATCCATCCATCCATCCACGAATCCATGCATGCATCCATCCATCCGTCTGTCCGTCCGTCCATCCATCCATCCATCCGTCCGTCCGTCCGTCCGTCCGTCCCCATCGATCCATCCATCCATCCATCCATCCATCCATCCATCCATCCATCCATCCATCCATCCATCCATCCATCCATCCATCTGTCCGTCCATCCATCCATCCATCCATCGATCCATGCATGCATCCATCCATCCATGCATCCGTCCGTCCGTCCGTCCATCCATCCATCGATCCATCCATCAAGCCATCCAGCCATCCAGCCATCCAGCCATCCATCCATCCATCCATCCATCCATCCATCCATCCATCCATCCATCCATCCATCTATCCATCCACGAATCCATGCATGCATCCATCCATCCGTCTGTCCGTCCGTCCATCCATCCATGCATGCATGCATGGATCCATGCATGCACCCATCCATCCGTCCGTCCGTCCGTCCGTCCATCCATCCATGTTGGGATCCAATTGGCCCTTGTTTTTGACTGGCAACTGGCAAATGAGCATGGGGTATGCCAACTGATCTGATCGTAACTCACTCGAGATCTGTAAGAGAGAAACCTTTGCAACCTCTTTACCTAGGTGATATTTTTTGTGCCCAAGCGCGCTTTCAAAGGCACATCACCAGGAAAATCCAAAGCACCCGTTTTTTTCGGGCTTTAAACAACAAACAAATCACATGGCCGATCCTTTTTTCCCGCAGATGAGAGTCCTGCGAAAGGAGCCAACGGATCGGGTTCTTGTTGGCTTTCTCCTCGCTGTTCAGGATAGCCCTGGTTCTTGTAGAGGGTAGATGGCTTCCCATCAAACCACCAAGCCACCAAACCTTCGAACCACCAAACCACCCAAGCCACCTTCTCCTCGCTTTTCAGGATATGGTGGTTTGGTGGATTGGTTTTGTTGAACCCCCGGATCTTGTAACCGATTCAGCTCCCAAGGTTCTTGTAGAGGGATGGGAAGCAAAACCACCAAACCACCAATCCACCAAACCACCAAACCAACAACCCCTGGTTTTTGTGGAGGGATGGTAAACCGCTCAACCACCGGACCAAGCGAAACCCGCAAACCGCTGAGCTTCGGCGGGAGGTGCCTTTGACGCTGCTGCGCATGGCGCAGCTCCTGGCGGAGGCGGGCCTGCCCGCAGGCCATGGGGATCGATCGGGGCCATCGGTCGACGATGGCCGTCGGGTTGGGGTGCGGTCTGGTGAGCTGGTTCGCCAGGTGGGACGGAACGTTGACCTCACTTGTTCAGTGGCACCGATCCTTTTTCCATCTTTTTGTTTGGTGGCCCCACTAAAACTGGTCCAAGGACCAAAAAGGGTTCCCTTTTTTTTCTCCAGGGTCACTGAACAACTGAGCCCCAGATTTTCAGCAACCCCCAGTGAATTAGGGGGGTTTCTGGGTGTAGCCCAGATGGCCGATATTTAACCCAACTAAAAATACAAGCATAGCAGGGTTGACCCCAGATTTTATCAACCCCCAGTGTATTAGTGTATTAGAGGGAAGCCAACCAGGAACTTCCCGGATCGGAAGAATATGTATTGGACCCGGGGTTTCTTGGTGTTGGACTTCTGTACTAGAAGGGAACCTAGGATCATGGTTGAGAACTGGCTGTCTGAATGTTGACCCCAGATTTCATCAACCCCTATTAGGGGGGTTTTCTGGGTGAAGTGTGGGGGATCAGACCACCCCACCCGCCTAATAAACTGGGGTTGATTAATATGGGGTCGACATTAGGAGTCTGTCCAGTTAGTCCACTTGGAAGAGCCAAGCACTTTTTGAGGTTGGGCAAGGTTTGGTTCACATTGATAAAGCATGGTTGTTGAAAGTCGAAGGATGTAACCCTGTGAGCACAAGAGGGATGAGTGTTTTCTGGGGACCCCATCCAGAAAAAAAGCAAAACGTTTTCCCTCTAGTTTCCCTTTGAAACCTACCAAGAAATGTTCCAACTCCAACAAAGGACGAGAGCTGCCGTGGGCCAGGGGTGCTGTCCGTGGTGAACGGCGCCAGCACCGTGGCCAAGGCGCAAAAAGTCGGGAGCGGTGGGAGGGGCTGCATCTTGCCGGTGACCCGAGCGAAACAGTGGGTTTTCAAGGCAGAGATTTGGGCTATGGGTCAAAACCCAAATCGTACCCCCAGTGAACATCCCCACTAAAATTGGTTCTAAACTGGGTGGTGCACCTACCCCAAAATGGGATCCTGTTGGTGTTGACCCACGGCCATTTGGGATGCCTCGGGTTTCAAACATAATTTTGGGGCAGCCAGAAGCAACAATTCGTCCAATCGACTGGGTCTGAGGGAGGGAACTTTGGAGGGCGGAGTTGTGAGCAGGCTTGGGTTGAGCAACGAGCTCCATTTTTGTAAAGGGACCCCCCCCCCCCCAGGTCTTCTTTTCTTCTTTTTTCAAGAGTTACTTGAACGTGTTTAAGGCATGTGTCAACATAGACCCTCAGAATGGGTGCTCCCCTCTTGGTGTCGCTTTCAACCAAGCCCAGAAAACCTTTCGCCTCAAACAAACTGGACCAAAGCCATGTACTGCAATCATCGCTTCTAATGCCAGGTGCGAAATCCAAAGCGCAGCAACTCCCGCCGGAATTGGGAGCAACTCTTGGAGACCCCCCGAAATGGGTGGTTTTCCTTCCTAACGTGATCCCAACAGAAGGCAGCCTCGCACATTTTTCCACGCACATGGATGGGCATATGCTTGGGCTTGTTTGATTCCTATCTAATATAAAACCTGTAGGGTTTGGGTCTCCATCTCTCCTAATATTCCTACTGGGTGACCCTAAACAACTGCTGGTAAAGCCACAAGAAGTCCAGTTATCCCAGTTCACTGACAGGGTTGTTCCTGTTTGGGTTCCAGTCAATGGGTTCAGTTGGTGTGCAAGTTTCCCTGGGTCTCGGAAAAGTCAGTTCCCCTCTGACTGAAATAAGTACCAAGACCGGATTAGGGCGTTGGCCCAATCCGAATGCCTTGGACGATTGGCGTATGCTGAAGGGGAATACACTACCGACTTAGGTGAATCCACTGCAAGGTGGCCAACATGTATGTTTCAAGAAGTTCCCCTTGAAGAAGAGAAGCCCGCACGTTCAAAGGAATCAAGCATCTTGTTTCCGAAGAGTACCCTGAAATTCCCCCAATGTCCCTACATCCTATATGGCTGTGGGTCAAAAATAGGTACCCAAACTGGAACCCTGGTAAACTCGCGTGATTTCATTTTGAACCATACCCATACCCTGTTCCGAAGAGGAAAGCCGAAACCCAAAGAACAGCAAGGATCCGCAGATCCCTCTCCACTTGGGAAGATTGGCATATCCTATATGGCCATGGCTCAACACCAATGGTACCATTTTGGGATAGGTGAATTCACCACCCATTTTAGAACCTCTTTTAGGTGGTTGGATTGGGATGAACAAACCTATGTCCGCAGATGCCTCTTCTGAAGGGGAAGAACCTCAGACCAAGGGGACCCTGCGACGTCGTGGGTACTGCGAGGCTCTGGCGGAGCACCCGGGCATCTCGGCGGTGTCCTTCGTGGGCAGCTCGCGAGTGGCCGCGCCTCGGGACTGGAAAGGCTGATTTCCTGTGGCCTTCAAAAAGGCCTTCGGGGGTTCCTTTCGGTGTTCCTTTAACACCAAGGATATCAGATGTTCCTCTGACCATCTCACTTTGCTTCGGGGATTTATCCCGAGTGTTGCCATGGTTGGCTAGGTCCCACAGCAAGGTGCCCTTGTACCGTTTCTTTTTTGGTTGGGAGGGTTCCCCTACTAAAATAGACAACAGAAAAAAGGGTACTCTTATTCTAACCTCTCTACTGGAGGATCCCCAATTCTTCGTTTTCTTTTAATGAATGGCTGGGGGAAAGGGTGTTTTTTTTGCCTAGCCCTGGCACAGGGCTAACCCTGGTTGGTTGGTTGGTGTTTGGTTGGTTGGTGGTTGGTTGGTCGGGGGCTCGGTGGGGGGGTTCAGGGTGGGTTTAGGGTAGGTTTGGGGTAGTCCGTTTAGTTTTAACATCCTCAGCATCGTTTTCAACATCCTCAGCATCGCCAGGTTTTGGTTTGGGCTGGGTTTAGGGTGGGCTCCAGGTTGGCTCAGGGTCGGCTCTCGGTGTGTTCCAAACCAATTGACAGCAAATTTGGGGGTGGCTATGCTTGCAGCAGATGGTTTAGTGCTGGTTTATGGTGGGGCTTCTTGGGGTTGGTCTCGGCTGGTTTCGGGTGGGTTTAAAATGGCTGCAGCCATGGCTGTGTTTAAGCCCACTTGGGTGGTTTAAGGTAGGTGGCTTAAACACAGTGGGCTTACACACAGCCATGGCTGCAGCCAATTTTAAACCCACCCGAAACCAGCCCCAAACCTAGCCCCACCATAAACCGAGAGCCGACCCTGAGCCAACCTGGAACCCACCCAAACCAAAACCTAGTGATGCTGAGGATGTTGAAACCGATGCTGAGGATGTTAAAACGATGCCGGGCCTGAACCTATCCCAAATCGACTACCCCAAACCTTCCCTAAACCTACCCGAAACCTTTATCCGTTAGTGTCTCCCTGCGTGCACGCAGGGCTATGCAATAAAAAACCATGTCAGCCAATGGCTGGGGATGGGAAGGGGAAAGAGATGCTCACCCATCCGTCCAGGTCGAATTCATAAGCTGGAGATGGGCGGGAGCGTGTATTAGAGAGAGGAGCGAAGAGATGCCATTCCTTGTCTGGAGTTCCTGTCACTATGAAAGACTCTCGATGGAACTTCGGGGTTGTGGGTTGGGCAGGGAAGCCAAATGAAAGCACTCATTTCTTCTTCTTTTTGAACTCAAAACACCCAAACCCATATTTTTCATTTCAGTAAAGACCACTCACAAAATGGCCCTGACACAGAAACAGGTTCATGGTTGTGGAGATTCAGGATGCTTTCTGTGCTAATTGGCAAGGAAATCCCCGAAGTAAAGTGAGATAGTAGTCAGAGAAACATCCGACTTTGGTATCACAGAAAGAGACAGTCATTTGAATGGGTTGAGGAAACCCCCTTTATCGTTGGTTTAAAGGACCATCGAAAGGAACATGCGCTCTTTTTTTTTTTTGGGGGGGGGCTTTTTTTTTGGGGGGGGCTCTATTCGTTTATGTGAAGAATGCGTGCATGTACTCATACATTCACCGGGCCAGGGGTTCATGGGCATATGCATATGTATTTTTTCCGGTCGGACCCCCCGAAATGGTTGGTTTCCTTTTGGTTTCTCTTTACCACTCCAAAAAGGGGTGTCCTCAACGGACAGACCGATAGAATCGCATAGTTTTGAGTGAAACTGAAGGAAAAGGCGCACCCGAAACACATGCAGATCGACGGGTTAATCTTTGACCCTCGTGGTTGAACCATGAATTGATTCCCCCTTCGTGCAGGAACCTCTGCTGTTGGAGCCTATTTTGTGAAGCCAAGGTTTAAAGCGCCGCCCGAAGGTTCCTACAGAAGGTTCTCGCCAAACAGACACTAAGTGTCCCGGTGAGTGGGGGTCTCGGCAGCTTCATATCTTAGGGTTGGCTGCATCAGAAAGGGAAACGGCACATCTCATTCTCTGCGTAGATTGCCCCTGCAGGGTGGCCTGATGTGCTGATGTAAAAGTAGGGGAACTTTTCCCCCCAAAAGGGAAAAAAGAAAAGAAAGAAAGACAAAACAACATAAAGAAAGAAGAAACAAGATGGAAAACAAGTGCTCCCCAGATTCGTTTGCCGCCCTCAAGAAAACAGGTGCCGTAAACCGGCGGGGCGCCCGTTTTCTTTCAGGACATCATCGACAAGACGGCGCGCAGCACTGGCAAGCGGGCGCTCTGCATGGGCGGTGCCAAGAACCACTTGATCGCCATGCCCGACTGCGACGAGGCCAGCGGCCATTAGAATGGGGCCGCCCTTTTGGTGTGTGTGTGTGTGTGTGTGTGAATACCTTTTATGGGGCACTCATATTGTTTCAGAGCCATAGTGGGATATTTTTCAGGTTGGGCCCAATACGGTTGGTTTCGCTTCAGGTTTCCCATTTAATGGGCCCCTAGTCGCCATTAGTCAGGCAAGAGTCACTGAGAGTCACTAGTGTGGGTGGACAACATGCTGTACCAGTTGGTAGGTGGTTTATCCCAATATTTATGTACGGGGTTTCGTTCATCCCAACTGTTACAAGGTGTTGTCCTTTCACAGCATGATCGTCCCTAGTGACTGTTGGGTAGCAATGGTGCCCTTGTTATGGCTCTGAGTCAGATGAGTGGGCCGGGCCGACAAATTTGGTGGTTCTTCGGGGTCATTGATGCCAAGCGGGGTGAGAGGGGCCATGGGGTGCGAGGCCGCTTGGGGACGTACCACCAAACTGTATCTCAGAAATCTCGACAATCACACCCCACTTGGGTTGACAAAGTCAACCCTTTTGAGGGCGCCAACCCCTTTAAAGCAGCACACAAACACCGAACACCATTTTCATACTGGGTTGCAAGGGAAAACGAGGGAAGCAGCCAGTTTTGCCAGGTCTGCGAGTTGTCGTGCCCACGGCTTTTCGGTTCCCTGGCTGTCGACTGTGTCAGAGAGGCCCTATAGGATCATCCAGGGTTGTGGACACGACAAAGGAGTGGGCTTTTGATTTTAAAGTTTCCTTTTGGTTTCCCAATAGTGCCTTTGAAAGAGCGAAGCCCACACCCCACACCCCCCACCCCACCCACCCCACCAACTCGCCCCGGGGTCCGGGCAACTTGAAGGACATGACCATCAGCGACATCATGAACTCCGCCTTCGGCTCCGCCGGGCAGCGCTGCATGGCCGCCAGCGTGCTCATCGTGGTGGGCAAAGGCGCCCCCGCTCGCGTTTCGGTCGCCTCACTCGCGTGGCCTCGGATCCGAACGCTTTCTCCGGCCGCCGGGTTTCAAAAAAAGCTCCAAATGGCTTTGGGTCAAAAATACGTACCCAAAATGGGTTGCCCTGGTAAGTGAAACATGGACCAAAACCTGCGGTCCGATTCCTGGTGGTTTAATTTTGACCCATACCCAAATGGGGCTCGGGGCTTAAACCGGGCCCTGGAAGTGCGCAAGAGAGCTTCCACACTTTTACTTGTCACTGAGCAAGGGCACAGCCTGGAGCAATGGGGCGGGTTCCGCCAACCAAGTCGGTTTTAAGAAAAAGCCGCGCGGGCCGCCCAGTTTCGGAGTTTCGGAGCCGCGGGTTCACTCAACCTCTCCGCTGCCTTCTTCGCGGTTTTCCCGAGACGAGGCCGCCGGGCCTTCCTGGACAAACTGGTGGCCCGGGCTGCGTCTTTGAAGGCGAGAAGTCGGGAGACATGGGGTGCTTCGATCCGGGCGGTCGGTGGTTTTCCCTTTTCGCTTAAGACCAACCTGGGAGATCAACAGGAGAGCTAAAAGGAAACAAAGCCTGAGCGTTTTAATAAGTGCACTCAGAAGAATGAGTAGATTGAGATTGTTCAAGTAATTCTATGTTTGGCTTTTCTCGTCGAGGCTTGGATTGGTTTGGGAACCCCATTTTCAAGCCACATAGGAAAGGCAACCCGCGTCAGCCAAACCACCAAGAAGGGTATGGTGATAACACCAACCCAGGGGCATGGGATTTTCGGGGGTCTCAAGCCGCTGTTCTTTGAACAGCCTTTTGGGTGCGACTTTTTGAAGGGTGAAACTCGTTTGGTTTGTTTAAAAGAGAAAGTTCAAAAGGAAAGCAACATTTTTAGGAACCCTACTTTGAAACTCAACTAGGTCCCCCAGCTAGGTGCCCTTTCTCACCAACTTTTTTGGTTCGGAGGGGTCCCCTACTAAGCTACTAAAATAGACTGCAGAAAAAAAGTTGGTACCCGAATCTCTCTACTGGTTTGGACCTGAGACAAACGGCCGAGGCGGGGCAGCAAGCGGGGGAGGTGGGCCCGGTCATCGACCCTGCAGCAGCGCAGCGCATCGCGTCCTACGTGGGGAGCTGCGAGTCGCAGCTCGACGGAGGTCTGGTTTCAAGAAACCCTATTTCAGGCACCCTCTCTCCAACTAACATGGCAACTGACAGGGGCTCCCTTCGAAACTTCAAAAGGCAATGAATCTTCCGGGTACCTCCCCACAGGTGCCATGTTGGTTGGAGGAAGGGTACCGCTACTCAACTGTCGTTGCCGGGCTTTTTCTTCTTGTTTGGCCACCCCCAAGCTCCCTAAAGCTCGCGCACTCAGTGCTCAGAGACCCGGATTGCGCACTCGTTTGTACTCAGTGGTTCAATCCCGACCTTTGGATTTTGGGTTTCCCATTTTGGTCCATGTCTCGTCTCGAGCTGAAAAGGTTCGGCTTTCAGTTCCGGATCCTTTTGATCGGTAACCCCTAGTTGGTAGTTCGTTCCGCTGGGTGGTTTTGGATTTGGAGTTGAAGCCCTGGAGCTTGTAGGGGGGTACACGGGAACACCCCCTGAACCACCAAGCCACCAATCCAAGCCAGCAATTAGGGGGAAGCTGACACTTCGTGATTTGGATTGGTGGTTTGGGGATGTTAAGTGAAGGTTTCTTGTGGGGTAAACCAAAAGTGCAGCGAGTCCATTTGTGCATTGCGTTTTGCAGGGTAGATGTTTCACCTTAAAGGGAAACTAACAGGAACACCAAAACACAGGCCCAGAAAAAGCACCCTCCGCAGAGGAACAAACACAGCCCCTTTTTTCGCCTCCCCGAAGCAAACCCCGAAGCAGACCACCCCCCACCCCCCCCCAATCATCTTTTCCCTGTAGGTAGAAGGCACCACCCTTAAACAACTAAATGGATAATCACCACCCGGGCAAAGTTTGTCTAAACAGGAATTACTGTAGAAGGAGGTTCTTTGCGCAATGTGATTCTAACATGTTTAAACTGAGGTGGTTCACCCGGGCAAGAATTTTCAGGATCCCCCCTACAACATTATGTGGGGGGGCTTGGAGAGGCGGGTGACTCCTATTCCATTAATAGTTTTATTGTGTTTTGCGGCATGACCCCGAAAGAGGCTTGGTTTCCATTTGATTCCCATCAAACAAATCATGGCTCCCGGCAAAAGGGGGCCCGAGCTCGGCGAGCTTGGGCACCTATGAAGTGAAAGACCGGTTCAGCCAATGGCTCCATGATCAGCGAGTGGATGCTTAAGACCCGCGCAACGCGGGTCTTGCGGACTTGGTGCGGTACGGTACCTTCGGGCCAATGCCACAGCGGGCGCCTTGCCGGAGAGCACCTGCATGGCTGCGCTGTCTGGCGGCCGTCCTTTAGGCATACACCGTGCATTGGCAGCGCGAATCTGCATGCTGCCCCAGGATGGGCCTTTAGCTCGCCTTGAGGAGTTGCGCGGTGTCTTATGGCTGGAGCAGATCCGGCCGCCACTGACTCAGGCAACTCGAAAAGGAGAAGGAGTTTTGACAAGGGCAGGTGTGAGTGAAGTACTTCCTAAGACATTTTTGCTACCACAACCGTGTTCTGGAGAGCGCAAGGATGACAACTTTTTAAAGGAGACTTTCCAACACGCCGTTTCTTTTTGGGCACGCCGTCCCTACTACCGTCATTCCTTCCAATACCAGCGGTGGCGCAAGCATGTGTGAACATGTTCATGTTGTCATGCGACGGTGTTGTGAGCTGACAGATTCATCGGACAACCCGTAACTTGTCCAGAAATAGCCGGGGCAGTCCTTGTGGAAACACTAATTTCGTGCTGGGGTATGGTCATCTCTACTTTCAAAGGCTCAACTTCCATTCGAAGAATGGCCGGCCAAATCTAGATCTCCTCAGTTGCCTTTTTTTTTGGCGGTTTGGATTGGTGGTTCGAGTCGCGGGTTTTGCCCAACCGGACCCCACCCCTCCCCCAAGGAACGGCGGCAAGATCCTGCTGGATGGCCGCAAGTGGCAGTCCAAGAGCCCGGGCTTCTGGTTCGGGCCCACGGTCCTGATGCACAAGTCTCCGAAGGACGGCCGAGTGCGGAGAAACGCGAGTTGGAGCCACCTGAAAAAGTGGTTGGACACCGAATGGGGTTGTGAGTTTCAAGAGTTGGTTGCTGAATGGGGTTGTGAGTTTTAAGAGTTGGAGCCACCTGAAAAAGTGGTTGGACACCGAATGGGGTTGTGAGTTTCAAGAGTTGGTTGGACACTGAATGGGGTTGTGAGTTTTAAGAGTTGGAGCCACCTGAAAAAGTGGTTGGACACCGAATGGGGTTGTGAGTTTCAAGAGTTGGTTGGACACTGAATGGGGTTGTGAGTTTTAAGAGTTGGAGCCACCTGAAAAAGTGGTTGGACACCGAATGGGGTTGTGAGTTTCAAGAGTTGGTTGGACACTGAATGGGGTTGTGAGTTTTAAGAGTTGGAGCCACCTGAAAAAGTGGTTGGACACCGAATGGGGTTGTGAGTTTCAAGAGTTGGTTGGACACTGAATGGGGTTGTGAGTTTTAAGAGTTGGAGCCACCTGAAAAAGTGGTTGGACACCGAATGGGGTGAGTTTTAAGAGTTGGAGCCATGTGAAAAAGTGGCTGGACATGAATCCCCACCTAAATCAAAGCGTACCTGCTGCTTGAGAAACAATTTGTCTGGACCCGTGATGAAGGAAGTTCCTTTACTGGGGAGGGAGCGGGTGTAGTCTGTCTTGACGGTGTTGCTCAGGTAGCCATCACACCTGGGAGCCGATGTACACGCTTTGAAACTTGCCCTCAAATTCTTTTGAGAAAAGGGGTCTGTAAGCCCTTCAACCTTGTGACCCGTGCGTGGAGCATTCTGCACGGCGTCGACCGTCGGCCCTTTTTGCTTTCTGTTGCACAAGCCTTTTCGTGGTGACCGGTTCGCCCAGAAGACACTCAAACTCGGTTTGCCCACTCCAGCATCGCGATGCGTGGCTGCCAGTCACAGAGCCAGAGACAAGGAGTGGCAACGGTTTTGAAGTGTAATGAGTTTCGTGCTGACTCTTCCAAACCTCTTCTTCGCTGTTCTTGGCATGTTTTTGGTTTTTTAGTTTTTTTGTTCTGTTCATTTTTACTGGGGGAAAACAAAGTGTTTTGCTACCATACCAAGAGTAGAGATGTCTTCATGAACCCCGAAAACAACCCAGAGAGCTTTTCCGACTCACCCGTAGAGTCATTGTATCTCACCGGTCGCGTCATTTTGTTTGCAAGCAATATAACACCAGTCGTGCTCAGCACAGTTCATTGCAAAGCACCTTCGCGCACGCACAAAGCGTAATTCGTTGCAAAGTGGCGAAGGGGCCTGGGCCTTCAGGAGGCAGCGGTCGTGGAGGAGATCTTCGGCCCCGTGCTGTCAGTGCTGGAGGAGCGCTGGGGGCCGGGCTTGGGGGAACATGGCAGAGCGATGCCATCTAATGCTAACCCCGGAATTTAAAAAAAAAAACCGGTTGATTAGTAGGGGGGTGTCCCCCTTTAGTGGGGATTCATCACTTTTGCAGGGAACACCTCCCTAATAGAGGGACGGGTTTATTCATCCTGGGTCAACATTACCAGTTCAAGTAGGCAGCCAACAAAAGCTGCACTTCAAGAACTGAAAGGAACATGTTTGGCTGCCTACGATATGAACGAAAGGGAACTGGGAGGTTTTAGTTTGCCACTGTGCTTGCTTGGTGCTTTCGACTCGGACTTGGTGTTGCTTTGCACGGTGACTCCATGTCATGCTGCAAAAAAAAGCAACGTTTCAACTCCTCCGACTGTAGGAGTTGGGAATTTCCGACAAAAGGTGCCCCTTTTCCTTCTAGTCTGGGAACATGGGTGAGGGAGGGGGGACTGGCATGGTTGTGGCAAAAGCGGCTATATGGTCAGAATTCCAAAAATGGTGGGCATTATCTTTGCGCCAGAAGATCCCTACAGCAAAGGGGTGGTAGCTTGATAAGAAAAACATCATCCCTTTCAGGTGACTGGCTAGTCGTGCTGTTGGATGGATAAGTGCCTGCAAATATGGGCCTACCTCCTGGTGCAACAAATCTGTCCACAGGGATGGGAAGCACCCAGTTTTGTTTCACCGAAACTTTGATTTCCCACAACTCGGGCACCGGAGTCACGGCCCCAGAGATGACGAAAGCAGAGGTTTTGGTTGACCGCATCTTGGCCTGTTTTGGTCACACAAGAGTCTCCCAAATTCAAGCCGCCCAAAACGCCCGAAAGGTAGGTGGTTCTACCTGGTATGGGGGGTTTAGCAAGGCGCGTAGAGCCATAAAGAGGCTTTTGGGGCCGCACGTGGCCAGCCCCCCCCCCCTCCCCAAAGACAAGAAGGGGTTGAGAGGCTGAGTTTGGCGCAGACGTATTTGGGCGATATGGCGGAAACCATGAGCCTTGTCATGCCGGTTCCATCCTGAATGGGTCCTATGAACTCATGGCCAATTGGACGATGGGGACGTCATAAATTTTTCATAAGCCGCAAACGGCCAATTTCATGGTGGACTTACACATTAGTTCAGCCGCAAACGGCGAATTTCATGGGTGGACTTACACCTCGGGCCTTCAACTCGCCAAACTCGCCCACTCGCCTTCGACTCGTAGGTGGATTCCTTGGACGCGGCGGTGGCCATTGAGAACGCCAACCCCTACGGCAACGCGGCGGCGATCTACACCATGTCTGGGCAGACGGCTCTGGAGACAGTGGCTCAGCTGCAAGTTGTTCTCCCCGTCCTTTGAACAAGGGGGGGGGGTGTTCCCCTGTAAAAGCGACGCAAGATGTGTAAATTTTGTAAAAATGGCTTTAACAGCCACAGCCTGGGGTGATGCTTCCCCTGTAAATACCAACGAACAATGGTTTGCTATGGTTTCAACATGGTGCAGGATTTCGTCCACCCACAGTATCCCCGTCCTTTGAATATGGGGGGGGGGGGTTCCCCTCTAAAAGCGACGCATCCCCAATAGATATGGGACAGCTCCTATTAATCAACCAGTGGTTCATCATTCTCGGGATTCGGTTTCAAGGGAAATTCGGGAGTAGAAACCACTGGTAGATGACTAGAAGCAGTCTTCATTATTCTTTTCTTACGTGCATTTCTTCTACTTTTTAAAACTATTACAATATTCTAAGGCCACCGTTCATCCAAAATGGGTCTGGAGTTGTGGTAGAATGGCTCTTTCAGTTGGCTGTTGGTATCGGCCTGTCTAGCGGCTCGGCAACAGACGACATGCATGCATCGAAAACATACCTCCGCCTTGCCGAGAACCATTCCCACCCCATATGGATTCCAAACCCAACGCAAGCTCAACCCAATACTAGATCCCCAACATCCAGCCTGAAATTATCTTGGATCCACCCTACACTAAACGGTTCATTCAATTCGAACCCTACCCTCAACACCAAAAAACTGGTTTCTGAGCTCAGCCCCGAGCCTTCCGGAAGCCCACCCTAAGGTTGACCCAGGATCTAAGTAGAACCCGTCCCGTTTCTTAGGGGGGGTGTTCCCTCTAAAAGTGGGTCTGAATCCAACCACGAAAAAGGGACACCCCTATTAATCAACCAGGGGTTCTACTCAGATCCGGGGTTAACATTAGTTTTTGTTTTGACTCTAAATCCAGGCTAAGCCGCAAGCCTGAGTCCATGTGATTTTGACGCCCCCAATCCTTTGAAGCCACCAAATGCTCACTGACCTTACACCTGATTCCAGTCCACCTACTTTCACCCATATCCACCCATATCCACCCATATCCATCCTCCCTGTGCTAGGCCCCTGCCCAACCAGGCTTGCGTTCTTAAGCGAGCGACCGGCCCCGTTTCCCTGCGTTTCGCATGCTGCATACGCTTATTTTGGTGCCGTGTACGTGTTCACTTGACACACATCTGCATAATCACGAAAGCTAGCTTTAGCTAGCTGAAGTTTCTCCTTGCGTAAGCAAGGTAAGGGGCTCAAATGCCGAAAGATTGATTTTTTCAATTATTTGAGCCGAAAAGATTGAAAAACATCAATTATTTAGACCCCCCCCCCCTCCCCCCCCCCCGGGTCTCAGGCTCGATTCCTCCCTGGTCCATCCCCCCCCCCCCGGGCAGTGGCTCAGTGTTCAGCAGTCTCGGTTTGCCCGTTTTGGACTTGGTGCTACGAACTTTTACATGTTCCACCGATTCAGCTTGTTCATTTGAGACCTCAGTCTTCTCGGTAAACCACCTCGCAAGAATCTTTGCACACGCAGCATGCAGAACCCAGAGGTGCTTTAAGACAGCTTCTGACGCCTCTCGTTGTTTTCATTTTTCAAGGTTTGCCACGCCACCATGTGCGTTTGCGTGTCGCATCCTACGAATCTTGCCGGGCCTCTCGTTGTACACAAGCTACCTATGAATCCACTCTGTCACCGACCCATCTCATGCAACAACTGCTAGCTTTCGTTCACCCGCTCCTCAAGTTCCTCTCGAGCTCTGCAGCTTAAAAGAACCTCATGATGAAGGCTCTAATTGGGGTCTTCTTAAGGGACGCCAAGCCAGGAAGGTTCTTTCAACCACGGGATCTGTTTTGCGAATGGGGGGGATCGTTTGCACCGATCCTATCAGGGAATCCTGGAGAGATGCAGGGCTTTCTCGGGCTTTTTGGAAGCCCGAAGGCCATTTGGAGGGCTCATCCTGGCTTCGTAGTTCCAAAGGAATCTCCCCATCATAGGCCCCCAAAGGACTTCTGCCCCCGGTCCAAACAACACGAGCCCCCAAGAAAGTTGCACCTCACAAGTTTCCAAGAGTCACACAAGGGGTCAACGTTTGGGACCATCTTATGTCCTTGCCCACACAAATGCTGCAAGGACCAACACTCATCAATCTAGGGCTACCTTCCATTTCCATTCTGAACCCAGGGATCCGGATCTTTCCAGGAAACCTCCTTTTGAAACCCGATCGGGAAAACGGAAATCCGGTTTTTGGCAAGAACGGATCCGGTTGAAAAGAATGGGGCCGAGGAATCAACCCCTTCGAGTCAAATCCCAGGTCTCGGGATCGAACGTCGATCCATCGATCCATCGATCCATCGGTTTCTTCTTTCTTCTTCTTGGTTTCTTTTTGTGTGTGTTTTTCCTCTTCTTTTCGTTTTTCTTTCTTCTTCTTCTTTTTTCTGTGTGTGTGTTTTCCTCTTCTTCTTTTTGTGTGTGTGTGTGTGTGCATGTTTGTTGTGTTTTGTTTGTGTTCCTTTTTTTTCCCCTCTTTTTTTTCCTCGAGGAGAAGTTGGCGGCCGGGATGATCGGGGTGAACATCGGCGTGCCGGTGCCCAGGGAGCCCTTCAGCTTCGGGGGGATCTTGAACTCCAAGCGCCTCGGGCGCCGAAGCGAAGCGCTTTCCGAGGGGGGGAGGGTCCAGGACGCGAGCTGGCTTTTTTTTTCCCCTTTCTTTTAGCCCCTTTTTTGGTTTTTAGCATTTTTTTAGCCCCTTTTTTGGGTTGGGAGGGTTCCGTCCGAAAAAAAGATTTCGGGTTGTACCTTAATCCTGACTAGGTCCCCCAGCGAATGGTGCAACCGACCTCTCACCCAACTTTTTTGGTTTTGGAAGTTAGCTCACTCACCGTCGAAGTCTGCCCAGGACAACTCTTCACAACAAACCTGCAGCAACTAGGTCCCCCAGCTAGGTGCAACCTTTCTCACCCTTTGGTTGGGAGATTCGGCTCCCCTGCTAAAATAGACTACAGAAGAAAAGTCGGGTACCAACTTATTCTAACCTCTCAACTGGTTTGGACCTAGTTGGGTTGTCGCAGCGTGCCCAGTTTTCGTTGGGCGCCAGTGGGCTCGCTGGATTTGTTTTTCTTCGTTTGGGTCGAGAGAACATTAAGTCTCTCTGGATGTTGGAGAAGTCTTTTTTCTGGCCTCTCCGGTTTCTTGCAACAGGGGGAAAACTCGCTCAAGGATTTTGGTGAAGTTCTTTCTTCGCATACCGTGCATTGCGAAATCCATGTCGCGCCTGAGAAGCCCTGGAAGGATGACTCCCCTGATACCAACCAACGTCATGGCATCCCATAGTTTCACAGGATGGAGATGAGCGCACGCCACTCCGTGAGTGGCTTCCGGGCCCCGGGGCCCCCCAAAAATGCTCAAGCCCAGGGGCTCAAAAAGAACCTGAGAGATGGCGGTGGGTCGGACTGGGATGGCACCAGCTGTTTGGGGGACGGTTTGCTTTAGAACCAATAGATGTTCTTTGTTTTTGATGAAATGAAGTAAAACAACATACAACACAAATAACATTAAACAATACTAGTATCATGGTTATTGTTGTTATTATCATTATTAGTATTATTATTATGATTAGTATTATCACTATTTTTTTCTTCCAGAAATCAAGTTCCAATGCAGGTGTCCTTCAGTCACTTGGGGTCGAATGGGTAGGGCAACCGGTCCCCCTGTTTCAAGTCAAACCAAATAACCTTTTCCCTTCGAATGGAAAGGACATCATGGGAGCGCTCCGGCCTGTGTTTTGGCCCGGGGGGGTCCTCGGAATATGGCTGTGGCTCAAACAAGTGGAACCCATCTATCCGAGCCCCTTGGATGGACGCAAAGACCAAAACCTGCGGTTTGCCCCAGGCCTCAAAGTTTGAGCCACACGAATATGTTCCCATCTATCTGAGCCACATATGTTGCCATGTATCTTTCCCAACAGGAAGGTGCCAACCATTTTTGCGGATCGGGGGCTCACCATTTCAGTCCTTTGGGGATCCCTTCATTCTGGTTGTGTTGCAGATGTCTGAGCAACCTATATAGCCAAGTTGCGATCGCTTTTTTCAGTCACTGCGGATTTTTGGGGTCAAGTGCATGAAAAAGAAGAGCAGCCACTGGCGATCCAAGAAGTCACTACATATAACATGCACGGCATGTTTTCGTGCCTTGGACGAAAAAGCAAAGTCGCCAAAGTCGCCCCACTCTCCATGACTCGCACACATGGTGCACTGCAGAAACCAGGGGTCCGTTCCACCGGTGAGGGACCATTTTTTTCCTGCACGGACGACGGACCAAAGTTTTTGTTTGAGGCCCAGTATTGTGGGACACTCTAAACGGACTCAGAACGGGCGTTGTCTCCATTCAACAGTGTGTTGTTTGGCTTCCATGCTCATTTCCCCAATTTGCGGAGCCCGCCAGCAATTCCGTCCATTTGGCCAGTGTTGCGCTCGACGTGGTCACCAGATTTGCCGCTGAACAGAACATGGGTGCCAAAAGGAGGTTTCTCTAAATCTGGGTTTCTAAGAGTTCTATCCTTCTCCCTTTTGCCAGCTGATAGTGGTTTCCCTCGTCGGGTGTCGTTTTAAAGGGAAACCAACAGTAAGAAAACCAACAGTAAGACCACCGTTTCGGGGGTCCAAATCCTAAACAATCACACATCCTGTTGTAGTGGTGTCCCCGATTGCAATCGGGGTTTCGGATTCCCTGTTTGGAACGAAGCATGCAGTAACATGCCAAGAGCTGTTCGACGAGGGAACCTCAGTTTGTGGCCGCATGTCCGAAATCTCCCGATGGTTGTGGGTCAAAATAGGAGAACCCCAAAATGGCCTGAACCCGGGTAAATAGACACGTGAACTAAAATCTGCGGTCCGGTTCCCGGGTTCATTTTGACCCCTGCCCAGATCTGTGCCAAGTCTAACTGGGTAAAGATGCTCTTCAGGACTCGGGGGGTAAACCGGGCACCTTTCAGGTTCGGCGACTCCTCGGACATTACCGGGGAGGGCGGCATCAACTTCTGGCTGCCCGGGCAAATCGAGCTTGAGGTACATAGGGGACGAAGAAAGGCTTTTCCCAGCTCGGACTCCCCGAGTTTCTGGACTCTGTACTTTTTGGAAAGGCCATTTTAGAGGTTCTTATTTCCAGGAATTGTGAAGTACAAAAGACACGGGAGTCTCCAGAGGTACCTACTTCATTCTTTCCACGAATCCTCCTTGAACACCACACACAAACACCCTGAACAAGTCGGCTGGTCTTTGAAACGAAGGATGCTTGGAAAGAAGGGCGACACGAACCTCTTTTCGACTTCCCGGAAATGAAGTTGTTCCCCGCATTTCTAGAAGTGTCGCGCCCTTGTGACCTGACACTGACATTGAAAGGCCACCTTGCAAGGGGTCGGGCGCCGTCTGGGGTCATCATGTCGCTTGTCACAGGCGGATCGTGCATGTTGCTGCCTCTTTTTATATTTTTCCACCCTTCCGCCCGTCGTTTAAAAAGAAGAAAACAAATAACCAGCGGTTTGTTTCTCAACATAGTAGGTGCTTCTCCAAGTTGGAGATACCCGGGTGTGTTTTCCCTTAAGGCCGTCCGAAGCTTTTCTCTTCGGAAAGGTCATGTCCTCGAAGGGTTTTGGTTGCACTTTGCTTGGCTTCTGCCGCTTGCTCCAGTTTTTTTTCTTCTTAATTATTATTATTATTATTATTATTATTATTATTATTATTATTATTATTATTCTTTTTCACCCAGTGCTTGTAAAGGGAATCTACCACTTATGTTTTTTCTTCTTTTTTTTCAGGGGACTTCAAGCAAATGGATGTTGCTCAATGAGTTTAATTCGGTTCAACTTCTGATCTTGGAGACCCTGCATGGCAAAGAAGACAGCTCGGTCTTCCAGAAACAATAGCAGTTGGGGCAACCAATTGAAAGTCACACCCGACACCTTGGATAAAAGCGCTGGTTGGTTCTTTTCGAAAGTCCCCAAAGGCAAAGGCAAGTTGGCCAAGGACTCAGAAGATCAAGATCACCTCCAAGTGGCAACCACCGAAGAAGCGAGATGTGATCAGCTCTTCCTTCATCTCGTAGACCACTTCCTTCTCGTTTCCTGGCTGTGCACTTCCCGAGTTTTCACCTGCCCGAAGCGACGAAGCGTCCTTTTCGAGCTTGTGGTTTCCGCCTTTGTAATTATAACCCCACGTGTTTTGGGCAACTGAGGAAACTGGGCTCGTAATTGGGAAAGGACATTATTATAGAATTTCCTGGCGGGTCATTTCTGGAGGGCTCATGTTTGGAAAAAAATCGACTCAGCAACAAAGTTCAGTTCCGATTCTATAGTTGCTCCTTGCAACCACCTCGCCGGACTAGGCATGTGGGAAGTTCGGGAGGCAAGCAGCGGGCCTTTTGGGCCCAAACTCGGGAAGCGGGTCAACGAGCTGGGCTCAGTGCTCGGCCAAGCGCTTTGATCTTTGATCCTGCGCGATCCTTTGGCGAGAGAAACAACAAACAACGACCGCTTCGGCCGCATTCCGCTGCTCGTTGCCGTGGTTCTGCAAACCGCATTTGTTGGACAAAAGTGTGTCATAGCCATGTGTTTGTACCTGCATTTAGTAATACACATATGTATATATATATATATATATATGTAATGTATACTGCACATACATACACATACATACACACATATATATATATATATATATATATACTTTGTGCACACAACATGAATACACACATGCAAATACGTGCTAACATCACGTGACACACATATCTGTGTTTTCGAGAGATTTCGATTTAAGTGGGTTGATGGGAAGGCTAAAAGGTAGCCATTGCAAAAAACAATATGCATGCGACACTATGCCTGCGTTAGAATTCCGCATGCACCTTGGCCTGAGGCATGCTTCGCGGGCTCCGAGGCTGGACAACGGTTCTTAGGAAGTGCGGCTTTCCCCCCAACCGCTATGGTCCAAAAATTGCGGATGGGTTTGGGGGTTTGGGGGTTTCGGCCCTGCTTCCGGGGAGGTTCCGGGGCAGGGGAGGTTTTTATTGGGATGTTTTGTTTAGACCTTGTTGGTCTTCGCTTGAACAGTCGACACATCTGCCCAACACAACGCAAATGTAAACAGTTTGACCGTTTGCTCATAGTGTTTGTTTCAGAGAACATGGGAGTCAAGCATGATCCGAAGGTAGAGACTAGTTGGCGAGATCCTTTCTTCCAAGCCCAAGTTGTCGACCTCTGAGACTCGGAGCCCGTTCAGTCCGATGCGGGCAAAGGGCAACCAGACGCCTGTGGTTGTCAAAACCGTTTTGGGATCCCATTTTGGTCGGTGAATTCACCACTAGTTTTTGTCTATTTTAGTGGCTGTGGGTCAAAACCAACGGCCACCCATTTTGGGTTGGTAGGTGAATTCACCACCCATTTTAGAACCTGTTTTAGTGGTTGGATTGGTTGATGCTCACTGGGTGCGAAAGTCGTTTTCGGCTCTGCTTCAAGGGGTGTGGGCGGCACCCCATTGGCCCAGCTGCAAAAGCTCACCAGAGCTGCAGGTTGATGCATCTCCGGTATTGAAGTGGCCATGCCGGTTAGCCCCAGGGAACATCAACCAATCCAACCACTAAAAGAGGGTCTAAAATGGGTGGTGAATTCACCTACCAACCAAAATGGGATCCCAAAACGGTTTTGACCAGCCAAGTCCTGAGTCCGCGGGACCAATCAGCTCGTTCTGGTTGCGCAGGGTGGAAGCGACTTCTTCACCATGGGCTGATTCGAAGGTTTGTGCACACATTCCCTCATGAAAAAGCCGCTAGACGGGCGGCAGCAGCAACAGCAGCAGAAGTGGCGGCGGCAGCAGCAGCCGCCGCCGCCTTTTCTTCTTCTTCGTTTTCAAGTATTGCCCTTGATTTCGGTGGGTCAAGTTTTTCAGGAAGGGAACTGTGACCCCTCATTCATAGCAACTCTTTCTGTTAAAGGGGGTCTTTATTTCATGGCACGATGGATCTAGTGGTCCACAGAAGCGCCTCCCTCTCGGGTTCCATGGCATGCCTCAGGCGAACGCCAGCTGTGCAGCTACTGCTTGGAGGAGCGCATGGCGGGACCACCTACAAGTGGTCGTTTACTAGGTCCCCCAGTAGTGCCCTTCTACCCCTTTTTTGGGGGAGGGTTCCCCTGCTAGACTAGGCTACAGAAAGAAAAAGGTACCTGGAGGACCTAGTTGAGATTCATGCCCGACCTTATCAGCTGCTCGCAACCGACGCTTTGCACTTGTTTTTCTTCCTTTTTTTCCCTCACACACACACCCCTGTATTTATAAGTTCAGCTGTTCAAAACCGACCTTTCAACCTTTTGTTGTTTCATGCTTGGTTCACTCTTAGTACAGGTTGGTCCTTTGGGCAAGGGAGTGGGCTACATTCGGTTGCAGTCAACCAGTTCCCCAGGTCTCCCAGGCGGAGGATGGAGCTCTGCAGCATCCAAGTGGCGGAACCTCGTTTTGGTGCAGTTGTTTCAACAAGTGCCGATTCAACCCTGGGCCATCGCAGGGTTACATTATGGCTTAAGAGTCTACAGTATGTATTTATGTCCCCCTGTTGGTTTAAAATGGAATCTATCACTGCCGTTTTTGTTTTCTCCTTTTTTTTCCTTTATATAAATAGAAATAAATAAATAAATATATATATATATATATATTCTTTGCAGGGGACTTATGCAAATGCATGTTCAAAGCGGCCGGTTTGGAGGATCCCTGAGAAAGCCATAAAAGACGGCAGGGGGTGATTTCTTGGCCACGGGCAGGGGTTCGGGCAAAGGACAAGTTTGCTGAGGGAAGACTTGTCACATCTTGCGGAATCATGATCACTCTGAGCGGAAAAGGTGTCACTGCTTACGGAAGTGAAACTGTCACTGCTTACGGAAGTGAAGCCACTACACGCGGAAAAGTATAGGGGTAGGAAGCTCCTTCCTTTCTAAGGCTCCTTTCTAAGGCTCCTTTCTAAGGCTCCTTTCTAAGGCCCTTTCTAAGGCTCAAGGCTCCTTTCTAAGGCTCCTTTCTAAGCCTCCTTTCTAAGGCTCCTTTCTAAGGCTCGCTTTTCGAGCTGGAATGCCGGATTCCAGCTCGAAAAGCGGATCCCCAAGACACCTTCATCGCGGCCCCCTTTCAGGAGGGATTGGCATCCCCAAGACAACCTTCATCACGGCCCCCTTTCAGGAGGGATTGGCTGGGGATCCGCTTTTCGAGCTGGAATGCCGGATTCCAGCTCGAAAAGCGGATCCCCAAGACAACCTTCATCACGGCCCCCTTTCAGGAGGGATTGGCTGGGGATCCGCTTTTCGAGCTGGAATGCCGGATTCCAGCTCGAAAAGCGGATCCCCAAGACAACCTTCATCACGGCCCCCTTTCAGGAGGGATTGGCTGGGGATCCGCTTTTCGAGCTGGAATGCCGGATTCCAGCTCGAAAAGCGGATCCCCAAGACAACCTTCATCACGGCCCCCAAAGGATTGGCCGGGATCCGCTTTTCGAGCTGGAATGCCGGATTCCAGCTCGAAAAGCGGATCCCCAAGACAACCTTCATCACGGCCCCCTTTTCAGGAGGGATTGGCCGGGGATCCGCTTTTCGAGCTGGAATGCCGGATTCCAGCTCGAAAAGCGGATCCCCAAGACAACCTTCATCACGGCCCCCTTTTCAGGAGGGATTGGCCGGGGATCCGCTTTTCGAGCTGGAATGCCGGATTCCAGCTCGAAAAGCGGATCCCCAAGACAACCTTCATCACGGCCCCCTTTCAGGAGGGATTGGCCGGGGATCCGCTTTTCGAGCTGGAATGCCGGATTCCAGCTCGAAAAGCGGATCCCCAAGACAACCTTCATCACGGCCCCCTTTTCAGGAGGGATTGGCTGGGGATCCGCTTTTCGAGCTGGAATGCCGGATTCCAGCTCGAAAAGCGGATCCCCAAGACAACCTTCATCACGGCCCCCTTTCAGGAGGGATTGGCTGGGGATCCGCTTTTCGAGCTGGAATGCCGGATTCCAGCTCGAAAAGCGGATCCCCAAGACAACCTTCATCACGGCCCCCTTTCAGGAGGGATTGGCCGGGGATCCGCTTTTCGAGCTGGAATGCCGGATTCCAGCTCGAAAAGCGGATCCCCAAGACAACCTTCATCACGGCCCCCTTTTCAGGAGGGATTGGCTTGGGATCCGCTTTTCGAGCTGGAATGCCGGATTCCAGCTCGAAAAGCGGATCCCCAAGACAACCTTCATCACAGCCCCCTTTCAGGAGGGATTGGCTGGGGATCCGCTTTTCGATCTGGAATGCCGGAGTCCAGCTCGAAAAGCGGATCCCCAAGACAACCTTCATCACGGCCCCCTTTCAGGAGGGATTGCAGCTCGAAAAGCGGATCCGCATCATCACGGCCCCCTTTCAGGAGGGATTGGCTGGGGATCCGCTTTTCGAGCTGGAACGGAGCTCGAAAAGCGGATCCAGCCCACTTTCAGGAGGGAAAAGCGGATTCTCGCAAGGCGGAAGACAACCTTCATCACGGCCCCCTTTCAGGAGGGATTGGCTGGGGATCCGCTTTTCGAGCTGGAATGCCGGATTCCAGCTCGAAAAGCGGATCCCAAGACAACCTTCATCACGGCCCCCTTTCAGGAGGGATTGGCCGGGGATCCGCTTTTCGAGCTGGAATGCCGGATTCCAGCTCGAAAAGCGGATCCCCAAGACAACCACGGCCCCCTTTCAGGAGGGATTGGCTGGGGATCCGCTTTTCGATCTGGAATGCCGGAGTCCAGCTCGAAAAGCGGATCTGCAAGACAACCTTCATCACGGCCCCCTTTTCAGGAGGGATTGGCTGGGGATCCGCTTTTCGAGCTGGAATGCCGGATTCCAGCTCGAAAAGCGGATCCCCAAGACAACCTTCATCACGGCCCCCTTTTCAGGAGGGATTGGCTGGGGATCCGCTTTTCGAGCTGGAATGCCGGATTCCAGCTCGAAAAGCGGATCCCCAAGACAACCTTCATCACGGCCCCCTTTTCAGGAGGGATTTGGCTGGGATGCCGATTCCAGCTCGAAAAGCGGATCCCAAGACAACCTTCATCACGGCCCCCTTTCCAGGGATTCGGGGATCCGAGCTGGAATGCCGGATTCCAGCTCGAAAAGCGGATCCCCAAGACAACCTTCATCACGGCCCCCTTTCAGGAGGGATTGGCCGGGGATCCGCTTTTCGAGCTGGATGCCGGATTCCAGCTCGAAAAGCGGATCCCCAAGACAACCTTCATCACGGCCCCCTTTCAGGAGGGATTGGCCGGGGATCCGCTTTTCGAGCTGGAATGCCGGATTCCAGCTCGAAAAGCGGATCCCCAAGACAACCTTCATCACGGCCCCCTTTCAGGAGGGATTGGCAGGGATCCGCTTTTCGAGCTGGAATGCCGGTTCCAGCTCGAAAAGCGGATCCCCAAGACAACCTTCATCGGCCCCCTTTCAGGAGGGATTGGCTGGGGATCCGCTTTCGAGCTGGAATGCCGGATTCCAGCTCGAAAAGCGGATCCCCAAGACAACCTTCATCACGGCCCCCTTTCAGGAGGGATTGGCTGGGGATCCGCTTTTCGACGGCCCCCTTTCAGGAGGGGTCCGCTTTTTCCGCAGAGACTGTGCTTTGTTTTTCCGCACATTTGGTTGTTTTTATCCGCTCTGCGGGGTTCGCACGTTTTCCGCGCGCAGCGCCAAGCCTCTTGCTGAGGGAGGGAGGATGATAAAATGAACTCGGGTCCCTACTGTGGGTGGACGAAATCCTTCACCACTTTGAATCCACAGCAAACCAGAACGTTTGCTACGGTATTTACAGGGAAAGCATCACCCCAGAGTTTTTTAGGTGGTGCGAAATGGATTTCGCCCATCCACAGAAGGGATTCCTCAATATGTGAAAGGAGTGGACGGCATGGGTGCTACTTAGCCGGGGAATCGCCTTAGTTCTCTTTTTTGTCTTACCATGACCCCAATTCCGGTTGGGAAGCGTTGAGATGTAAGGGCTGCTCCATAAGCAGGCTCGCCTGCCCGCCTGTCTGATCCAAGTACGCGGCGGCTTGTGAGCCATGTGCGGTTTCGAATATACGGTGGATGGAAGAGATCTTGCATGACTTGTGAAACAGATCCACTCCATCTTGTTACAACTTGCCCCGCGCCCCTGATTAACATTGGTGCTCAGTTTGGCCAAGTTGGGTTGGGTCATGCAAGATTTAGGTCATTGGCAACCTATGAGCACTTTTGCTCGTCACAGTCAATGTTAAGTAGGGGGCGTGGGGTGGTAAACATGTAGTTTTATAAAACTCACGCAAGATGTGTTCCATCAACAGTAGGGCCCTTTGCTTTTGTTTGGTCTTGAAGTGGAAAGCAACATGAAACAAAGCATACAAAAGGGTCCCTGTTCAGGCTGTTTAGGAAATCAAACGTACTGCGTTGTTCTTTCCTCTTTGAGCTAACTGCGAGCCTTGCCAACAGTCCAGGGTTTGTCGCCCAGTTGAATGCCAGGAGAACTCGCAGTGGTCAATATTGACCACCATGTACTATAGCAAAGGGCATGAATATTAACGGTCGCTTGCATGGCAAGTCCAACCACTTAGTTTGCCATGTTGCCTTGAAACCAACAAGAGACGCATCGTCGATTTGTAAGGGCCCTTTGGTTGAGGCATGTGAGGCCCACTGTTACCAAGAGGACCCACCGCGGCTCAAGATTAGGGGCCTCCAGGTGCTTGGTTTCTTGTCGGTGTCCCTCGAAAAAGATGGCCAGAATCTACGGGTGGAAGTACATACCCCTTGGTCTCCAACCCACCTTATAATGGGTGTATACCCCTTTTGGGAGAGGGGTATGAACATCAGCAGGCCTTTTGGGTTCATTCTTCCAAGGGGTATGTACAAGGGGTTTGTACCTTGGCACCCCTGGACAGAAGTGCTCTGAGTTTTTTTTTTCGCCGCAGGACCCACCTGGCGGCGGCGAGGTTTTACGATAGCCGCAGCCATCACCTGAACAGCACAGCCCGGGTGCCACAGCGTGCAGAGTCGAGCGCTGAGCGAATTGTTCTCAATTTTTTTGGTTGGGGCGGGGGGAGGTCAGGTTAGCCTTAGTTGGTGGTTGGGATTTGTGGTTGGGATTTGGATGTGAACCCCTGGTTCTTGTAGGGGGCAAATGGGAAACCACGCCAAACCTCTAAACCACCGAACCACCAAACCACCAACTAGGGGGAGCTGAGGCTGTGTTTGTTTGAGCCACTGGTTGTTTGGGCCGAGCGCGAAGATGAGATGGAATTGAAGATTGTATAGAAGAACCAATAAAACATATATCTGATTGTGCTCTTGGGCATTCATTGGGGCAGTATACAGCTTTACATGTTGGTGGAGCAATATCTTTTATTGATACTGTAAAACTAATACAATACAGAGCAGCTTTGCAGCCCCTGGCCATGAGGTCCAGAATGAGCTTGCGCAGGGAGAGAGCGGCCGAATCCACCTTGGTTCCTCAAGTGAAGCTGGTGGATTCCATGTTGGACAGGTACCCCCCCAAAAACAACAACAAAAAACAAAAACACACCCCCCCCCCCAAAAAAAGAAAGAAAGAAGAAGAAGTAAACACCCAAAACCACCACCAAAAAAATAATAATATCCAAAACCCCACCCCCCAGGTTCGACCCATTCCCAATTCCCACGAGTCCGAGGTGTATCGCTGGGAGGACGGACGCTTCGAGCCGCACCAGGCCCCACTCCCGGTTTGGCTCGGGTTTCGATCCAAGGCTTCAACGAGGACCAGGGACTAGGTCCCCCAGAATTGTCAGATGTTCCTCCGACTACTATCTCACTTTACTTCGGGGATTTATCCCGAGTGTTGCCATGGTTGGCTAGGTCCCACAGCAAGGTGCCCTTTTACCGTTTCTTTTTTTTAGGGAGGGATTTCGTCCACTAAAATAGACTACAGAAAAAAGTTGGTACCCTTATTCTAACCTCTCTACTGGAGGACCTAGGGGAGGACCAGAGGCAGGAATTCCAGTTTCAAATTGTCCCACCAAACTACTTGAACGACAGCTGGGGGCTGGAATCCTCACTGCCGAGATGGGCTTCCAATTCTTGAAGGCTCAGCGACAACTCGCACTCAACTCTCCTCAATCATCTTGTAGAATCGTAGGCATCAGGTTGCAATCTCCTTCAGTTGAGCCCCCTTTTCCCAGTGGCGTTTGTCAAAGGGACCTTTAACCGGCCATCCAGCTAAAAGGGGATCCATTTATTATTATTATTATTATTTTATTATTATTATTATTATTTATTATTCTTTATTTATTATTCATTATTTATTATTCATGATTTATTATGATTATTATTATTATTATTATTGTTATTATTGTTATTATTATTATTATTATTATTATTATTATTATTTATTATTCATGATTTATTATTCATTATTTATTATTATTATTTATTATTATTATTATTATTATTATTATTATTATTATTATTATTATTATTATTATTATTTATTATTCATGATTTATTATTCATTATTTATTATTCATGATTTATTATTCTTATTATCATTATTATTATTATTATTCTTATTATTATTATTATTTATTATTATTATTATTATTATTATTATTATTATTATTATTATGATCATCATCATCATCATCATCATTATTATTATTATTTATTATTATTATTATTAGTATTATTATTATTATTAGTATTATTATTATTATTATTTTTGTTATTATTATTATTATTAGTATTATTATTATTATTATTATTTATTATTATTATTATTATTATTATTATTATTATTATTATTATTATTATTATTATTATTATTATTATTATTATTATTATTATTATTATTATTATTATTATTATATATATATATATATACATATACTACGATAAACCCATAAATAACAACACGGGCACACCAACGCGGCTTTGCCAACAAGCAACGGTACTTTAGGCCCCCAAAGTGCACATATTTCCCACAAACTTTTCTCAGGATGCGGACCTCCAACAAATGTGGTTTTTCCTTTGGTTTCCTTTTAAAACCACAAAAGGGGCGCCCAGGAATTCTCAGATTCAACCTTTGCACGCAGCCGGGACCACTTCTTTTTTGGGTGAGTCCACTGATTGGCTGCGGCCCTTCTTCAACGGCTCACATTGCAATGGATGTTGACCCCGGATTTGGAAAGCCGCTCCATGATGCCCCACCTACCCCACCTACCCCCCACCTACCCCCTCCCACCCCACCTACACCTACCCCCTCCCCTCCCCCCCCTCCCCCCCCCTCCCCCTTCTCCGCCCCCCCTCCCCCCCTCTCCCCCCCTCCCTCCCTCCCTCCCCCCTCCTCCCCCCTAGGGATGTTTTCCAGAAGTGGCCTGAACCCACCAAGAGGGACACCCCCCAATCAACATCAACCACAGGTTCTACTTAGGTCCGGCGGGGTCAGGAGCATGACTCATCGGTATGGCTGCCTTTCTTTGTCGGGCCTCAGGTCCAACTTTTTGCCGCTCGGGTTTTCGGGTTTCCCCAAAGGGGGTCGAATTCCTATCTTAAGATACACTCGTCTCTGTGAGAGATACTGCGAACGGACAAATCCATCTCTCACCAGTTGAGATTGGTGGTTCATCCATCCCCAATATTGCATCCACAGCTATGTTGACCCCAGATGATTAAGCATGGTTGATATTTATACCGGGGTGTCTGTTTTTGGTAGGGGCTCATTCCATTTTTGGAGGGAACACCCCCTAATAGGACAGGATCTACTTAGATCCGGGGTCAACAAAAACCCTCTCTTCAGGTAACCCAAAGGACGCCAGCCGATTGTTGGGGTCTTCCTATTTTGAGACACACCCGTTGCCTCTCTGGGTGTCAAAAGTACCCAAAACAAATTTCCGCAACCGGTGCATTCCCTCAATCGGTGGTTTGCATTGGAGTCGCAGGGCACCTTCCGATACCCTTGACTCAACAAGATCCATTTTTTGGGGATGGCCCCCCCGCAAGACTGGCCAAGAGGGGTTGTTCTTTTCTGGGAAGACTGGCTCTTTAGTTTCTTTTTTTGGGAGGGGAGGGGAGGAGAGGGGAACACTCATCTGCATTACCTCTTCGTTTTTGTGCTTTTTTTTTGGGTGGGGGGAACCCACTTTGCGAAGTGAGTTTCTAGCCCGGCCGCTTGGAGAAAGGTGCAAGTCCATCAGTTTTGAACCCAGCATGTTCATCCGACAAGACATCGGGGAGCGGAGGGGGGTGGTTACTACTTTTTTTTTGGGAGGGGAGGGGGGAAATCAGATTTACATGGTGTCAAACAGCTCCGTGCCAACCTGATCTGAAGTGAACAAGAGGTTGGGGAGGGGGGAGGTGTCTTTTTTTTTTGGGGGGGGGGAGAGTTTTTGATTTGCCGCACTGGGGCCTTCATGTGCGAAGTCGAAGCCGCGGGAGGGTAACTCCTCCTCCGGGCTTCCGCCACGTCGCATTTCTCTCGCCGCAGCACCTGGGCACCTCGGGCGCCTGGGCGCTGTGCTCCTTCCGCGTGGCCGGGCACAGCTTCCTGGCCGTGGCCAGGCGGAAACCGAGTCGGACGTCGGAAGTCGGTCGCCCCGATGCGTGGATGGATGGACGAATCCGACGCGCCGATGCGTGGGGGAGGGATTTGACTCGTTTTTTTTTTTTTTTTTTTGGCGGGCTTGAACGGAAACACACATGGTTTTGGGGCACGTTTTTGTGTGCAAGGGCACTTGGTTGGAGCAGTTGAAGCCGACAATTTGGTGAGTTGGAGAGTTGGAACCACCAAGCATATGTGGTTGGAGGACTTGAATCCGATTCCATTTCGATGTTCACCAGTTTGGATCTCGAAGTGACGAGCCCAAAGAGGGCCAACAAGAAATGGGCTTGTCTCATTGGTTGCGGCCTGGCTTTTGGTATCCCGTGCCCATCCAACCGGGTCCCCCCCCCCACTGCCCCGCACTGCTCGGCGTGTTGGGAGGTTTCATGTCGATGCACAGGCCTTCAGCTGGGCTTGGATGTGGGAATGGGTTTAAGTGGTATGGGTATGTGGGGTGTGCGGGGTATGTGGGGCAGGGGGCTGTAGAAGAAGATCCCTTTTTCGGGTCGGGGTCTGTCCGTAGGGTGGAGTGGGGTCAAGGTTACCAGCCTTTGGAACACAGAAACAGCCACCTCACCACATAAAGAACCACATGCGATATGTTTGAGTGGAAAGGCTTAATCTAGATGTAAGTGACCTGTATGCTTTCAATTACACTTCACACAATGTTGGGTGTTTCCAACGACAGATGGCTCCTCTTTGGATCGTTTTCAACGCGAAATACCCCATTTGCGGAAAAAGCCGCGGGGTTTTTGACTGGGTCCGGGCCCCATTTGTGGAACCCCCGAAAACGGGAAATTTCACTTGTGTCGACCGAGGCCAACACTCTCAAACTTGAGGTTCTCAACACTGGAGCTTCCGCTTCACATGAAATGGCCATCGACAAAAATGGTGAACCAAAAGCTTTGGGGCAAATTTTTGAGAACTTTTTGATCCAACTCCTGGGGGTTTTCCGTATTAAGCCACTGAAAGTTAAAAAATACTTTTAGCCGGGGAGCAGAAAGCAGCCGAGAAAAGGCGCGCCGTGCACCAGGGGGCTGAACCTCAACGGGAAGGCGAAGGACCCAATTTTTGGCAGGCCAAGCCCAAGTGAGTCACAATTAACTCCAAAATGGCAGAAAGGGGAAATGGAAACAATGACTAAAACCTGTGGTTTTCTGGTGGTTTAATTTTGACCCACACCCAAATGAGCCACGTCCTCAAAACCCGGGGATTGATGAAGGTTAGTAAGGGAGAATCCCCTTGCCAGAAATAGCTGCGGAATTCCGCCTTCTTAGTTCTTGAAGCATGGTTCTGGGATTACGACCATTTTAGTACCGGGTTTTGATTGCGACTCAAGTGTCCGGTTTCAGTGGAAAGTCCTTGGCTCTTCATCCTAGTGGCTTGTTGCCACGGCAAGTGAACCGACCCCAGTCCGAGCAATAATTATGATTTTTTTCTTTTTTTTCTTTTTTTCCCTTGTTGGTTTTATAAGGGGGTTTATCACTACTGGACATTTCCGTCATTTTTTGTATTTTTGGGAGGGGGCTTGAAAAAGCACCATGGCATGGAAGTACTCCAAGCAAGTCCTGGGAAGACTCTTCCGGCCGCTTCCGGCCAGCTTCTTCGACGGGAAGCGCCGGCAACTTGCCAGTCCTGTGTACAGATGGGATGCCCGGGTCCCGGGTCTCAGGGAGGTCTGTGGCCCTGCCAAACCATGCACACAAAACCCGGTTCAGCGGCACCCTCTAAGTCCCTTTTGGTTTGGTGGAAACCCCTACTAGAAGAGTCAACCCCGAAAAGGGTTCCCTCTATCTGCGGGGTTGCAAAAAGAACAACAACTCACGTCCCTGTTCCGACTTGACGTGGATGGCATGTTTGGTGGCGAGTTCTGCATCCCTGGCGTCGGGGATCCTGGTTTGGGACTCCTTCGCCCTGAGATCCAAGCCCAGCTCAACCCCGAAAAAGGCAAGCCAGTTGTTCGACAGAAAAGAGCAGCCCCATCTTGGCTGGACTTGTGGGGAGAACCAAGGTCCCATCCCCCCAAAAGGGCCGAGCACAGCCAAAAGGGTGTGCTTCACACCGAAGGTGACCACGCAAGGGTCGTGGGCTCCCGATTCTCAGGCTAGGCCCAGTTGGTTTGGATTCGAACCTTGGATCTTGTTGAGGGCATGGGAACGTGCCAAATGGAAACTCCACCAGTTCAAACCAGCGATTGAGGGGGAATGGGAAGAAAGAGTAAGCCGAACTCCTGGTCGATTTGTTGGAACACCATTAGTAGAACACTAAAGCGATGAACCGTCACTAGAAGGGGACATTTCCATATTTGCCAGGAGTTGGTTACTCCAACGTCAACATGACTCGACATTGCAAAGTACCTTGAGGGCGAAGACGCGCGACGCACTCCAAGAGCGAGCCGTGCAATCTTAGACAATGACCCAGACACTATGGGGTCTGGGATTTTTCCAATTATTTTGTTTCTCCGACCTGACTTATTTGTCAAATTACTTGTAGTTGTTTGTCGTAATTATCATCATCATCATCATCATCATCATCATCATCATCATCATCATCATCATCATCATCATCATCATCATCATCATCATCATCATCATCATCATCATCATCATCACTATTGCAATCGAATCCGACTTATTTGTCGTTGTAGTTTGGAAGGTTCGTTCCCTTGTTCACCTTGCGGGCCTTGCTTGCAAGTCGGGAGGCGCAGTGAGTGCCAGTTTCGACGGGGCCCTGATTCAAAGAAACGATGGCCAAGACACACGTCTGGCGACCCTCCGTCTGTGGGTTTGGAGGGTTTGGGGATTTGAATTGCCCCCTTTCTACACCTCCCAACTGCGGATTCGGCTGTAAGCCACCCTGTGAAATGGCTTCCTTTCGTTTCCGTGCGCCACATTTTCTACCAACTTTCAAGAACCCCTCAGTTGGTGGTTTGCGGAATTGAACACCTCGGCCCGCAGGAGGGTAAATGGTAAACCACCTCGGACAGATCCAAGCCTTTTGCTTCACAACAATCGGAGAGAAGGAGATTCTTTCCGAATGGGAGGAGCTTCCTGTTGGATTGCTGAGGCCGGCACCGATTCCTTTGTTTGGCATCAGGACCTTGCGCAGCGAGCTGGGGGAGGAACTCATGGCAGCCTTGCCTTTGCTGATGGGAGGGTTGCTCGATGCGAGGTCCGATTTTTTCTTCGCTCAAGCAACAAGGGGTGGAACCTGGACGCTGTTTTTGACGACCCTTGGTTTTACTGGCAACTTCACCAGCACCTCAGTAGCTCAAAACGCCATGCTAGTCTTCTTTTGCAGAAACGGCCGGTTTTAGTTTCCGTTGGTGCTCTGCCGGCCAAGTTTCCATTTTCACCTGGCTTAAAGGGGAAAGGAACAACAGACCATTTTGCTGGTACCCCTATTTACCAGGCTGACGCCTCGAGTTTTGGGATATTTGCAGATACATCCAAAGAACCATCCTCTGGCCCCAAAATCTCGCTTCTTTTCTTGACCGTTGTGCGTGCTACCGCGGTCAACAAACTACTATCCGAGTTGCCAATGCGGCCAGTGATGCTAGTGATGCTGGGGTCGATGGACCGCTTTTCCAGACTGCATAAGCCCAGAAAACGGTCAGGAAAGCGTACAGATTTGGAAGGTTCTCACCCCGGGAATGTTCGGCATCACCAGCATCACCAGCACCACCGCAAGCAGGCCAAGATCTTGGGGGCGTTGTTTTCTTGACCACGGAGGTCACCAGACCAGCGTCAGCCTCGTGCTTTTTTCCTTGACCACTTAACCGCGCCTGCGGTCTAGAAAGCGGCGTGGTTGAGGGAGGAACCCTCCTGGCGAGTTCCGTAGGGCCCGCCCCAGGCCGCCAGGGCCTGCCAACGACCGACTGAGCAACGAACAACTTGCTTCAGGGCTGGGTCCTGGCAACCCTCCCCCCCTTCGGTAAGTTTTCTTCTTTTTCCATGTGAACTCTGTAAAATAGGTGCAACGACATCCGTACATACACTGTAGTTTTGTGAAACTAATTTATGTCAGTTCTTGCAAGTAAAGAATCACTTTTCCCGTAAATGAGGTCTTTCCCCTGCGGCGCGTAGTACATGGTTGTATACCATGCCGGTCGTTTCCCTGGGTGTGAGTGTGCTAAGAGTAGGAGAGGTTGGCGGATTTGACCCTAGCCATGAACTGTGCGCTCCAAGCAGAAACGGCGAAGCTGGAGACTCTCAGGTTGAGCTTAAAGACTAAGCCGGGGTTCCCAAAATATTCTCCCTTACCAACATTACCCAAAAGCCGAGGCTCACTCAAGACTGGTCCTCCAAAGGGTTTTCTGCTTTTTAAATCCAATCCAAGGGGCATGACACATGTTGGGTGAAAGCAGATGCCACGCTTCCCTTTGAGAAACACCATGGGGCTGCGCCAAAAAGGCGCGCGTTGCAAGTTCGCGACAAGTTCGCGCGACAGGACCTGGCCACCGAAGGGCCCAAAGACGTGGAGTATCTGGCGATGGGAGCCGGGGACTCGGCGAGAGACAGACATCACCCCAAAAGCCCATTTGAGGCACAATCAAAACCTGGGTAGATGAGGGTTAGTAAGGGACGATCCCAGCCATAAATAGCTGCGGATATCCGCCTTCTTATTTCTTTACATGGTTCTGGGTCGACCATTTTTGTACCGGGCTTTGATTGTGACTCATTTGGAGACCTTCACCCAAGCTTAGGAAACCCAAAACCATGGTAAATGTACTAACCATGGCCCATAAAGGACCCAAGATGAATGAAGATTCTTGATGTGAGATCAAGTCTCCAATCCTTTCGGTGGGTTTTTTGAAGACCATCCCGGGTGTCATGTTCATTCTGCTCGAACATGGCTTCTTTAGAGGTTGGACATTTGGATATGTCCCCGTTTACCATCGAATCCGCCCAGCAGATTGATCGGGTGTTGTCCGCAAAGTTGATTTGGGGTCCCTCTAAAATGGGACAGCCCCGGGCAAACCGGGTACTATTGATTCTGGGCCAAGATCTTCAGCCATCCACCCCAATACCAACAACACCAGCAAAAGCAAAAACATCAAAACCAACAAAAGCAACAACCGCAAAACCAGCAAAACCAACAACAGCAAAAGCAACAACCGCAAAACCAGCAAAACCAACAACAGCAAAACCAACAGCAGCAAAACCAAAAAAACAACAGCAAAACGAACAAAACCAACAACAGCAACACCAACAACATCAAAACCAACAACAACAAAACCAACAACAGCAACACCGGCAAAACCAACAACAGCAAAACCAACAACAGCAAAACCAGCAAAATCAACAACAGCAAAAGCAACAACAGCAAAAGCAACAAAAGCAAAACCAGCAAAACCAACAACAGCAAAATCAACAACAGCAAAACCAAAAAAGCAACAGCAAAGCCAACAAAACCAACAACAGCAAAACCTGCAAAACCAACAACAGCAAAAGCAACAACAGCAAAAGCAACAAAAGCAAAACCAGCAAAACCAACAACAGCAAAACCAACAACAGCAAAACCAACAACAGCAAAACCAAAAAAGCAACAGCAAAGCCAACAAAACCAACAACAGCAAAGCAACACTCGCAAAACCAACAACAGCAAACCAACAACAGCAAAACCAGCAAACCCAACAACAGCAAAACCAACAACAGCAAAACCAAAAAAGCAACAGCAAAGCCAACAAAACCAACAACAGCGCCACCAACAACAGCAACACTCGCAAAACCAACAACAGCAAACCAACAACAGCAAAACCAGCAAACCCAACAACAGCAAAACCAACAACAGCAAAACCAAAAAAGCAACAGCAAAGCCAACAAAACCAACAACAGCGCCACCAACAACAGCAACACTCGCAAAACCAACAACAGCAAACCAACAACAGCAAAACCAGCAAACCCAACAACAGCAAAACCAACAACAGCAAAACCAAAAAAGCAACAGCAAAGCCAACAAAACCAACAACAGCGCCACCAACAACAGCAACACTCGCAAAACCAACAACAGCAAACCAACAACAGCAAAACCAGCAAACCCAACAACAGCAAAACCAACAACAGCAAAACCAAAAAAGCAACAGCAAAGCCAACAAAACCAACAACAGCGCCACCAACAACAGCAACACTCGCAAAACCAACAACAGCAAACCAACAACAGCAAAACCAGCAAACCCAACAACAGCAAAACCAACAACAGCAAAACCAAAAAAGCAACAGCAAAGCCAACAAAGCCAACAACAGCACCACCAACAACAGCAACACTCGCAAAACCAACAACAGCAAACCAACAACAGCAAAACCAGCAAACCCAACAACAGCAAAACCAACCAGAAGGGTCCTTCTTTATTTTGAAAATGGCGCTTCGCGTTACCCGAGGTTCTGGCCTTTGCCGAGAGCATCGCTGACAAGGCGTGCGGTCGGCATCGCAAGGATGGCTTTTCGGGGCCCAAAATTGGTGGTTGGGTTGGTGGTTTGGATTGTTGGTTTGAATTTTAGACATGGTTCGCACGGCAGCTTTGAGGTTTGCAAAGGCAGGCCAGAAAAGTCTTGGCGGTTCGGTTCAAATGGCCTGTAGACATAGGTGCGTGTCTTTTTGAGGGTGGCCTTTTTTTTGGGTTGTTTGCTGAAAGGGAATCCGAAGGAAACCTCACCTACTGTGAAGGTTCCCCCATTTTTGAGACACAATCATATTGCAAATGCGGTCTTTCCGGGCACGAAACATGTCAACACTTGCGTAACTTGGGAAATGGTGGTCAACCAACGAATTCCAACGCAACCTCCTGTTTAAACATGCTTAACCACCCTTGTTTAATTCCTTTTGATAGGCTGCCACTTTCTGAGCCCTTGGAGGCTCCTTTTGAAGCGATTAGGCAACAGGAATCCCACTTTGGTACAGCGGAAAAGGGAAGCTGGGAAGCTTCCAATCTTCCCAACCTTAGTTACACTCCCCTGTTCCCTACAAATGGCTGTGGGTCAAAAATAGGTACCCAAAATATAACCCTGTAAATGGAAACATGGACTGGGACCTGCGGTCCGATTCCTGGTGGTTTAAATGATCAACCAAAACCAGTTCCGACTACTATACCCTCTTCTAGCCGAAGATTTTGCTGATTCCCCATTCTCAGCTCAGCTTGCTGAAGAGAAGGGGCTTGTTGCCTGAGCAAAAGGAGGATCACCCGTGGGTATAGTGGAGAAGCCACTTGTACTCCCCTACAAAGTCAAACGGAACCCAAAAGGAGTTTCCTCTGCAAGTGCGTGTTTTTTTTTTTTTTCCCCCCATTTTTTTTTTCCAGTTCCTTCTGTACATTTGCACCCCCCAGAAACGGCTGGCTTCCTTTTGGTTTCCCCTTAGAACCACCCCAAACAAGGGGTGTTTCGGTCACGTGCTCGGCCAAGCGGGGAGGGAGCGGCCAGGTGGGCCAGTGCCGCACCTTCCGCTGGAAAGGCGACGGAGATGGCAGGTTCGAGCCCTTGCAGGTGGGAGGGGGAAGGGTGGGGGAAAGGTTGGGGTGGGAGGTGAGAGGCGAGAGGCGAGAGGCGAGAGGCCGTGGTGCTCTTCAAAAGTGAGCCACAATCAAAACGCGGGTAGATGAAGGGTAGTAAGGGACAATCCCAGCCAGAAATAGCTGCGGATATCCGCCTTCTTATGTCTTTACATGGTTGTGGGTAGACCATTTTAATACCGGGTTTTGATTCTGACTCAAGTCGTGAGCAGTGTACTGGCTGGCCACTTTGCACGGAATACGGAGCCGTGCGCAGGTCACCGCCCAGCTTGCACCACGTGGTGCAACCGAACCGAAGAACTGAGCCGAACGGAACGGGATCCCTCCAAACTCATTGATCAAAAGGACACCTACTGTGGGTGGACGAAATCCTGCACCACCTAAGAAGCCATGGGAAACCTTTGTTGGTATTTACAGGAGAGTCATCATTCCAGAGTTTCTGAACAACGGTACGAAATGGATTCTGTCCATCCACACCCATGAACTTCGGGTCCTTTTCCCTGGGCTGTTCTCAGATCCCCTGCTACACCATGGAAACCCAACCACTAAACCAACTAAAAAGTAAACAGATAAAAAGCTAAAAAGCCAAACAGCCAAAAACCTACCGGAAAGGTGGAATGGGATGTGTCTCAAATGGGAAGCCCCAACCAGAGTATCCCTTTTTTAGTACCGAGAAAAAACAAACTCCACCCATGTATGACAATGGATTGAGATTCCTCTACATAGAGATGCCTCTACAAATTGTAGGTTGGATTCCATGTGGGTGTCTCTTTTTGTGGGGTACCCCTTGTTAGTTAAGGGAAACCAACAGGAAAATCACGCGGGGTCCCCAAGAAAGATGCGCAACACTTCCTTGAAATGGGTTCCCATCTACGCCTTGCTAGGTCTTGCCCACCGGCCCCGCCTTTGACGTGGAAGCTTTCGCTTTTGCCGGCGAAGAGGCCGCGTTAAGCAGGATTTGGCTGGATTGTTTTGGGATTCTATTGGGGAATGTTTTTTGGGATATTCGGGGATTTGGGGGAATGTGTTGTTTGTATTCTTTACTTTCGTTTGTTTTTTTGGGGGGGTATTTCGGGGTGGGGTGAGTGAGGTGGGAGGGGGTGGGGTGGGGTGCAGTGCCCCGACATGAGCCATTCGACTGCAGAAGACCCGCAGAGGTGAGCAGTCCTCGGTGCGTGTGCCATCCTTTGACCACGTTTGATATTATCCTCCTTTCAAAAGCAGTGGTAGATAAGATTTTAGTTGAACGTTGACCAGGGTTATCAGGAATCCAGCACACAAAATCATCCGTGAGTCAAACTATTTAGATGCCGAACCAGTTTGAGCTGCAGAACGTAGCTTTTGTGGCTTTGAGTGAGAAACTTTTGGTTGTCAAAGTGGGCCAAAAGCGGCCCTCTCACATTTGCGTTTGTCCCCTTTTTGCATCCCCGCTCTTGCATCGCAGCCTTTCGCCGCTTCACGTCCAGCAAAGCGTCTTGGATGGTTTGCCTGCGCGTGTTAGAGCCAGAAGTCATGGAGACAATTTCTGAGCTTTTCGTTGCACGTTCTCAAGGGCGCGCAGTATGGAGGACGTCACTGCAGTATGGCTCGCGCAGGCTCACTGGCTTTTTGTGGACACTTTGGTGGTGCTGGTGCTCGGGCAACTCATTGTCTATTTTGGATCCGCACGTTCGGTTGGCGTGTCGAAGCAGAGGCTTTTCAAACTGGAGTCCCAAACCTGCGCAAGACGGGGAGGGAGGGGGAGGGGGGGGAGGGGGGGGGGTAAGTGCGCTTTGACAGTTACAGTAAATGCCGCGTGAGTTGCGTCGTTCCAGTGGAACTTCAAGCCCAAAAGTGATAGCCAGTGAGGTCCGGCTCTGGAGGGCTTCAGGCTATTCCTGGGCTTCTCTGATCCATGCCACGGATGCGTGGGGGATTTTGCGGACTTCGTGGCGTTTTTGAAGACGTTTGGGATTTTGTGGGATTTTCGTTTTTTCTTTTTGGATTTTGGTGTGTTTTGGCGGATTTGGGGTCGATAATTTTTGATGGAATGTGTGGATTTTCTGGGAACTTTTGTGTTGTTTGTTGGTACTTTGGCAGGTTTTTGGGGATGTTGTTGGGTCTCTGGAATTTTGGTGGATGTCTGTGGTGGGTCGGAACCGTTCTTACACTCGCGCCGTTTAAAAATCACGCGCAAAGAACATATGTGAATCCCAGCTTTAGGATTGAACGTCCAAGCTTCTGCGAAGGGGCCCTTGTGCTAGGGGCCCGGTCATACATGCGATCAGTTAGAAAGTAGTATCCCTTCAGACACTCGCGAATCAGGCATTCCTTGATGGCAGCATCGCCCTTGAGCGATGTTTCATGGTGAAGGGAATTCAGACAACCATTACGGCTGTGCCCGAGGGAACCATGACCGTGAGCCAAATAAGGGGCCAAACCAGTACCAACACTTTACTCCTATAGTCATGACTAAACTCATGTGCAAAGTATCTCTCAAACTATTCTAATTATTTGAGCCCTTATGGTGGCGAAACACTTGAGCAGAACGGACGGCGATTCCCAGTCACATCGACCCTAAACAGCATCATATTTTTAGAGTTTTGAGGCATGCATGACGTATCCCACTAAAAGCTTAACTTTGGCAAGGGATCAACGGATATTTGGGATCACGTTTCGTGTTTATTGCTGGGATGGTGGATCTGAACAAACACGTAAAGAACGATTTCGCCTTCTCCTTTAGTGCCGTTCTTGGTTCGAGCAGGTCGCTTTACGTTCAGATGCTTGTTCTTCCCTTGGAAAACGGAAGGGCATAGCCCAGCGACGGCCTCCAAATCGAGTTATTTTCTGTCACACTTCAGGGCTTCGGTGCAGACTCGGGGGTTGCCGCAAAAGATATGCAACACGTGGTCGGGGTGGCGTAGGGACGGCCATCCGCAGGTTTTGGCGCCGCCAATTTCCAGGTGGGTAACTGGGATCATGAAGCCTCGGTGCGCGCCAGGGGATGGTTGTGGTGCACGAGGACCGCCACGGCCGCCAGGGGCGCATGCGAATTCTTTCTGTTGGCATGCAAAGGGTTTCTCTTACAAGAGATGCTCACTTTTTTTTGGGGTTAGAAAGGGAATTCTGGAGGACTCTGGAGGAATTCTAGGCATTTTGGGGGTTCTCTGGTTTTGACCGCGGATCTGTGGCACCATCGAGCTTGACAACTAATGCTAACCCCCCGAAGTAGAATCCTAGTTGATGTTGATTGGTGGTGTCCAGTTCCTTTGGTGGGAATCCAGATCGCTTTTGGGATTCCATCCCATGCTTTGTTCATGCCGGGTCCAAAGAGCCAGAGTCGTGCAGAGAGCTTCAATGCTTTTTTTGTGTTTCAACATGCAGAATCCTGTTTTTTTCTTCCCCCCCCCCCCCTGCAAAAGCGAACATTTTGGTTGTGGCCGAAAGAGGGGGGGCGGGTCTATTCCATTTTTTCCAGCTGCCCTTTGAGGCCAGCCAACCAAAAGGCATAAGGTCCTCGTGTCCCTGAGCCCAGGACGGAGTGGATGCCGGGACCACAGTGACCGTTTGACCAACTGGCTGCGGCATTGGTCAGAACGCCCGTTTTGTGGTTTGGATCTTGGATTCGGATTGGAGCCTGGGGCCTGTCCGCTCCGAACCGCCGCGCTGCAAACTTGGCTGGGTGGCGTGCGTGTGCTGCCAGGTTTATGTCGCCGAGTGGCTTGAGATGGAGCTAAAAGGCCCAGGGTTTCGTGGATCTCCGCTTTGCGAAAGGAGGCGAACGCCCGTCCCTTTGAAAGGGATAGAGAAGCATCAGATTGGACGAACACGGCGAGTTCCTTGGAACGAGCAGTAATGTTTCTGCTTTTTGGGGGGAGAAAGGGCTGAAATGAAATGGCTCCGCACTTTTAATAGGGAACCACCTGAGAAGTGGTTGGTAGACATGAATCCCCACCTAAATGATCTCCACCATTTCGGGTCCGTGCATTGAAATTCACACCTCCGACAGTGAAACCTGGCACGAGTGTCATCCGAGATCCAAAGTGCCCTTTGAACCAACTTGCTTATCAGGCGCTTGAGCGTGGGGTCCCCCCCCAAATTGGAGACTCTCAAGAGCAACTATTTGGGCTACCCAGCGTTGCCTTGAGTTTCCTTTCCATCCTGTGGTTTCATTTCTCTCCGAGGACATTTTCTCCAAGCCCGGACCGCAAACAATTGCCAGGCTTCAAGCTGCTGCAGAAGTTGGAGGTCCGTCACGGTGAGGTCCCGAGAAAAAAGTTGGCCTCCAGACCTTTCTTTGGGTGTCCAATTCTCATTTGGGTGCGATGTTCAATCGGTCCCGGACCCGAAATAGAGATCATTTGGGGAGGATGATGTCCACCAGCCACATTTTGTTTGGTGGTTCCAACTCTGAACATTCACCGATGTCAGTTTGGACCAATGAACAACTCTGCCCGACTGCTTGCTTCCTGAGGGGGACACTAGAGCTAGGCGAAGCCAACCATCCTCCCCAAACACCTGCCGGCTTTCCCCGGGAGGGGGGAATTGAGTTACAGGGTGCCCCAGCCACATAGGCCATAGTCGTGTATTTACGACAAGCCGATGTTGTGGGGCTGGGAAGCCAAAGCAGCCGGCCCTCCGTCTGGGGGCTCCCCACTTTGGGCCCCGGGCCCCCGGAACCGGCGCCGAAGTCTTTAGGCCGGGACGCCGAGCACCTCGCTTGGCAAGGCGCGGGTGCCAAAATTCAACTTGAGTCACAATCAAAGCCCGGGTAGATGAAGGTTAGTAAGGGGTAGTCCCAGCCGGAAACAGTTGCGGCCGCCTTTTCAGTTCCTTACATGGTTCTGGGTTCACCTTTTTTGTACCAGGTTTTGATTATGACTCACTTGGCGAGCCTGAATCAGGCACGGCCCAAGGGCACATGGCTACCCGAGCTCAGATTGCGAGGGCGTGGTCCTTGCGTCTGCTGCTTGGATCAAACCACGGCACGATGTGAGTCAAAGAGCAGCAAAAAACGACCATCGAGATGAGTCGTTCGCGTTTCTTTTCCTTTGTTTTCCCCGACCATGATGAAGAAAACCGGCAAGCTGGTCCAGGAAGAAAACCGGCACGGCCCGTTTCCTGTGAAAGGCTTATCTCTTGGTTCCGATTATCATCCCTGGTCCCTTACGGCTTCCACTCGACAGCAAATCGAACGTAGTATGCGAAAGAGTTGACTGCACTTTTTGGATTTGGACATTTGGGGAAGGTGGAAGTGGAGGTATTATTTCGAAACGAACACTTTGCATTTTCGTAAAGTGAAAACGTGCAGGCTAGTGAACTGAAAATTGTATGGAAAGATTGTAGGGATAGACGTCCGCTTCACAAAGAAAACATCTTCCGCCGATTGTGGCACTCGCCTGGGACACTGGTTTCTTGATTCTCAGAGATCACATCCTCCCGGGTACTAGAGCTGGCTGCAGGTCTCAGGTTTTGCTTCGCCGAGCTTTTTTTTCTTCCCCCTGGCGTGAAATTCGTGCAGTGGCACGAATTTGGTGGCAACGCAACCCGGAGCGTTCAACTGATTGGCCGCTTTTCCAGCAATCTTTTCGAGTCAGAAGCTCCCGCTATGATCCGCTTTTTTATGGGGAGCATGGTCACTCCAAACGGGGGGGGGGGTCATTGTTTGGGGGCTGCTAGGGGTAATCAATGTCGGGAAATGGGGCTGTTCCCCTTTTGGCCGACCACTTCGGGGTGACTTGGGTGACTGATCAAATTGATCACGGTAAACTTATGGGGCCTCCAACAGATGACAAAACGACACGAAACAAAACGAATTTGGAGTCACCCTGTGGTTGACCTGTCCCGTCAATGCGACCGGAATTCAGACCCAACCAGGAAGGCCTTCTTTCGCCTTTCCCCTCATTTGTTTCTTTTTGGTTTTGCTTGATTCGACGACCTAATCGGCTGGTCTCAAAAAGCGTATTTGGCCTTTGACCTTGCTTTGCCTTACTTCTTTGCCTTTTGGCCTTACACAAAACTCGTTTTTGGTCTGGGGTCGGATGGACGGATGGACAGTGTCAGGCCGAGACTTCGTGGCGATTGCAGTGTTCCGAAACCAGCAGAGCTACCAGGTCGATCCGATTTCCGATTTGACCAGGGCCCTTGGGGGTGTGAGGGTACTCTTTTGAGAGGTTGGTTCTTGCCCAAATGGCCCTTGGGTATGAGGGGGTGTCGCATTTTGATGGGAAACCCAAATGAAGACCACCATTTTGGCATGAATCCCCACCATGACGTCTACCACAGGGTCCTTGACTAAAATTTATGCCCATAGAGTTCTCCATATGTGATTCGGACCCCCCTTTTGGTGGGTGACTGGGAGGAAACCAATATAAAACGGGCTGCTGGGGCGGGTTTATCGAAACATCGGGGCCGGAAGCATGGCAAGGGTTCCTCCTGGGTCCCCTTTAATTTGCCGACCAACAACGGATTCTCCCCAAACATGACTGCAGCCATACGTTTCGGGCCTGCTTTTGGTTGATGATGGGAAAGCATAAGGAACCCCTTGCCATTGTAGGGGACCATGTTGAGAAGCCCTCATACCATTAGTTCATTTGTTTTAAGTTGGTGTATCACAGTTCT